AGGGAGGGAGGAGAGAGGGAGAGAGAGGGAGGGAGGGGGAGCAAGGGGGAACAATGGCAAAATCTCAGTGGAGACTGTCCTTTTTATAGTACCCAGTCGGGCTGACGTCAGGTCAGGGCCTAATGAAAATCAAGTTGAGTTCTCATGAGAAGTCCATGCTCAGGGCTTTGGGGACTGTTGTGCAATAGGTCCCAGTGTTCTGTAATTAATGGATCAGGACTGCTTCCCCAGCCAGCTGTACCACACCCTAGTCTCTTGCCTCATTTCCCTTGGAGAGACACAAAGCCCATCACTCTCCATGGGGTGCTGAGGGAGGGAGGCCTCTGTCTTCATAGTTACTTCCTGCTGGGAGGGGCTGTAGGCCCCACCTCTTGGGGAGCATGTGCTGTCCAGCTGCCTTGGGGCGCTGTGGCCACTGGCTGGTCTGAAGAAAAAAACCCGTCACTTGAGTTGAGCTTTTACTGGCTGTTCTTTCATTGTGGTCAAGCGGTCAGGCATAGGGCTCTAGATGACCTGAATTTCCAGTGGGAAAAATACAGAGGCCCTGTGCTCCCCACCCCTCACCCCATGTGTCCCAGTGCCCTGAGAACTCTCCAGCGTTTCCCAGCTCCTCCTGGCTGGGTAGGCCAAATGTATCCCAGCTCCTCCAAACGGGCTTTGGGATGCTGGAATCTCCTTCAAGAGATGGTTTCCAGGTTCTTTCTGTCTTGAATTGGTCAAGACAAGAACAAACAGCCACAGAGTTTTATAGTCCAAAAAGGTAGGAAAAGAGGGGCTGGTGAGATGGCTCAGTGGTCTAAGGCACCTACTTAGAACAAGCTTGGCAAAGCACAGGGACCGCGGTTCAATCCCCCAGCACCACATGCCAGCCCCGCCCCCCTGGTGGGCTGAGCTGGCCACATACACACACACACACACACACACACACAAATAAAATTAAAAAAAAGGTAGGAAAAGAGACAGGAACTGCAGAGCAAGTTTGTGCCAAGTGAAGGAAAAACAAGTGCATTTTACAGGGCGAGAAGCCAGGCATGGTGGAGAACACCTGTAATCCCAGCACTCAGGAAGGTGAGACAGGAAGACCGCTGTCAGTTCAAGGCCAGCCTGGGCCACATAGTGAGCTCAAGGCCAGCCTGAACTGCAGAGTATGAGACCCTGTCTTGAAAAGACAGAAAAAAACAAAACAAAAAATCCCCCCCCAAACCACAAAGCAAATCAACAAAACACAGACAGGGTGAGGTTGCACATGTGCAAGGGTCCATTTTAAACATTATTTCTATTTTTGCAGTGCTGGGGATGAGCCCAGGGCCTTTGCACTGAGCTGCATCCCCGGCCGTTTTTCTTTTTTTTTCCGAGGCTGCCCGTTTTTCATTTTTAATTTTCAGACGGGGTCTTGCTAAATTCCTAAATTTCCCAAGCTGGCCTCAAACTTGTGGTCCTCCTGCCTCAGTCTGCCACCGTGCACAGTTTGGTGGCACTCAGCATGTTCATATTGTTGAATGTGAGTGCCATCTCCATAGGCTTTTTATTTTTAAATTTTTTTAAACATTTATTTGTGTGTGTGTGTGTGTGTGTGTGTGTGTGTGTGGCCAGCTCAGCCCACCAGGGGGCAGGGCTGGCTGGCAAGTGGTGCTGGGGGATTGAACCGTGGTCTCTGTGTTTTGTTTAGCTAAGCTTGTTCTAAGTAGGTGCTTTAGACCACTGAGCCATCTCACCAGCCCCTTTAAATTGTTTTTGGCAGAACTGGGAATTGAACTCAGGCCCTTACGCTTGCCAGGGAAGCGCTTATTCCACTGAGCCATCTCCCCAGCCCAAGAGAGCAATCTCCAGAACCTTTTCCAGAACCTTTTCATCTTCCTAAACCGAAACTCCGAGCCCATTAAGCAGTAGCTCTCCGTTGCTTCTTCCCTGCAGCCTTTGGTGACTGCCGTTCACCCTACTTTCTGTCAGATGCGTCTGGCTTCTCTAGGGACCTCCCATGAACTGAATCACACACTTGTCCTTTGGTGACTGTCATGTTTCACTTGTGGTACTGTCCTCAAAGTTCATCCTTTTTGGGCATGGGTCAGAATTTCCTTCCTTTCTAAGGCCTAGGTGATATCGGGTTGTAGCGTGTAGCTCCCATATTTTGTAGAGAGGGGTATCTTTTAAGAATGGAGGTCCATTGAAAGCAAAACCGAAGCAAGGAGGTAGACTCTCTGTGTTCTTCCTTCCTTCCCCTCACCCACCTTGGATCCAAGGTTGTGGTGACATGGAGCTGTTGGCATTGTTCATCAGAGGAAACCAGGCCTGGGCGACATCCAGACAGCTTTGACGCTATGGATAGGGTGGTGGCCTCAGACTGCTGCTGCTGCTCCCCTCCCTCAGGCCCTGGGTGTCCAGCTGGACAGAGCTGACCTCTGTGTCCCCATCTGTTCCCTAGGGCTTTGCCTCTGTGTTCTCGAGCCGCACATCCCGGAAGTCAATCTCGCACGCAGGGTCCGAGGGCGCCATGGCCGATGGCGAGGATGATAGGAACCCCACGGAGGTGCAGATGAGCCAGCTGGTGCTGCCCTGCCACACCAACCAGCGGGGCGAGCTGAGCGTCGGGCAGCTGCTCAAGTGGATTGACACCACAGCCTGCCTGTCTGGTGAGCCCTGGGTCCAGGGCACAGGTGTCTGTTTGCAGAGCTGCCACCATTCCCCTGAGTGGCACACTGCTTCCTCCCCTAGCCTTTGCTCTTCCTGGTCCACCTGCCTGAAATGTCCTCGCAGTTTCCCAGTGGTCAGGGCAGTCTGTCCCTCTCCATGGGTCCCACAATTCTTGGCCCCTGGGTCATGCTTGCGGTCCCAGCTCCCATGGAGCCTTAGACCTGGTGGCTTCATGACTGGCTTGGAAGTGCTGAGCTGAGGCTGGCCTGGGGCTGCTGCTGTTCTCCTCCCAGCTGATCTCAGCTCCTTTCCTCCCTTTGGTTGGATCAGTGTTCTCAGGGAGATCACGGCCTAGGGGTGGGGATGCGCACGCAGTGGCTCTAATGTCCCCATTTGAAAGGCCTAAACCCAGCTTTGGGGACAGGAAAGGGTTTGCAGGGTAGCTGAGGCACCTGAGCAGGGTAGGCCAGTCCCTCAGCCCTCATGCAAGCCACAGCCTCACCGAAGGGAGGCACAGTAGCCAAGTGGAACCTGGGTATGTAGAACCGGTCAAGATGGTGGCTGCAAAGGACAAGAAAGAAGGCAGGTGGGCATGGCCTGGGCTTCACAGCCTGAGAAGCCTGGTAAGGAGGTGACATTTGATCAGAGGAAGGCCTGTGTGGCGTGGGAGGCTGCTAACATCTGGCTCTCTTCCCCTGTTGCCAGCGGAGAGGCATGCGGGCTGCCCCTGTGTCACAGCCTCCATGGACGACATCTATTTTGAGCACACCATTAGGTAAGTGATGCGTCCTGCTTCAGGGGCCTGGTCTCCCCTCATGAGCCAGAGCCTGGTCAGATCTGTGCTTCCTGGAGCCTGGCCTTTGTGAATGGAACAAGGGCAGCCTGTGAGGGCAGGGGCCTGTCTGCCGGTCTCTGGGCAGTGCTGGGCTGGGAGCTGAGCCCCATTGGATGCCGTGGGGTGAGGGACTCCCTTGGCTAGGATGGAACTAGGAAAGTTACCTCAGGTTTTGTGTTGGACATGCTGGGGTGCTGCATGGCTGTGAGGAAGTCAGACTCTGTCTGTAGGCCTTTGTTTGCAGATAGTCTCTCTGGGACACAGGACCGCGTGGAGATCCCAAATGGGGCACCACACCAAGGCCAGAGTTGGAGGTGTGGGCCAGTCAGGGTCTCCTCAGGAGCCTGCAGGCTGAGGAGGCACTCATACCCAGCAGGTCTTTAGACCTATTTAAGTGATGATTTTTAGTTTTTACTGGTTGGGCTGCACTTCATCATGCTGGGCCCGGGGATGCACATCTATAATCCCAGCACTCTTGGAGGCTGAGATAGGAGCTGGAGGATGGCAAGTAGCCCAGCCCAGGGTGGCAAGAATGATGTAGCAATAAATAAATAAAAAAATAAATAAATATGGGCTGGAGAGATAGCTCAGCGAACTAAGCGCTTGCTTAGGTAAGCACAAGGGCCAGGGTTCCATCCCTGGCACCACATGCTTCACCAGCCTCACCGTTGGGCATGCTGAGCCAGCGATGGAGTCTGGGCATGGTGGCCCATGCCTGTAATCCCAGCACTAGGGAGGCTGAAAACAGGAGGATCACTATGAATCTGGGCTGCATAGTGAGACCTTACATACACACACACAAAAAAATTAAATACTTGTTTGTAGTCCGGTGGTAGACACTTTTCTAGCAAGTGTAAAGGATTACGCTGCACTGAGCTTTCTCCCGCAGCTTGGAACCTGGTTCCAGCCATGCTTCTGTCCGTGAGGAGCCCAGGGCTGGACAGGTTGCAGCAGGGTGCACAGAGCTCTGTCCCCAGGCCTGTCCCTGACTCACCTTCAGTACTCAGGCTGCTGAGCACCAAGGCTTCTTCCGGACTGTGGGGTTCGCGGCGTGTGTGGGTTAAGGAACAGGTGTGGTGACCCTGTCCTTGCTGGCCTTCCATCCTTCACTGTGCACTGTCAGGTGGGAATCCTGCTGATTGGGGCGGCCATCTCTTCCCAGGAGTTCCCAGGGTGCTGGGAGGCAGCTATAGAAGCATTGTTTGCATTCAGAGGGGGATCCTGGGGCTAAGCAAGCTCGAGGCCCCAGGCTTGACCCCAGCCCTGGGTGACAGAACAGACAAGGAAGCAGGTGGTTCTGCCTAACAATGAGCTCTGACGGGAGAGCTTCTTCCTACAGGCCTAAGACCTTTTCCCTTTGGAAGAGTTTCAGGTTTACAAAAAGCTCATAGAGTTCCCATCTTGCCCCACCCTCAGGTCCCTTATTATTAACTCCTTACATCTAGAGGGTCCCTTTGTCACAATTAATGAACCGATGTTGATACCTTATTTGGAAGGCTTTTAAAATACGTTAACTTATTTAATCCTCTTAACCATACTGTGAGGTCTGGGCTGTTAGAATCCTCATTTTAAGAGAAGGAAACTGAGTTCAAGAAATGAGATAACAAAAAAAAAAAAAAAAAAAAAAAACTCTTCCGAGAGAAAAAAAAAAAGAAAGAAAGAAAGAAAGAAAGAAAGAAAGAAAGAAAAGAAAAGAAAAAGAAATGAGATAACTTGCTTAAGATCAGACTTGCTTAAAGGAGGACTGAGGATATTCTACTCGAAGCTAGTCTGGCCCCTGAGTTTTTGCTCTTAATAAGTGGGTTATATTTCCCATATATCTGGGGTAGTCAAGGAGGGATTCCTGGGGCAGCTTTGAGCTGGCCCTGGTACAGTCAGTTCTATGTACAGTGACACTTTGGAGGCCTGTGGGGCCAGTCTGGGTCTGCTCAGGGTCCCTTCCTTGAAGGAATGGGGATAAAGGGCTGGGGGCACCGTGTGAGGCATGAACTGCTGCCGCTCCAGGATGAGGTGAGTCTAGGCAGAGGAGGGGTGGGGAAGACCCCGGGAGAAGGGAAGGATCTGAAGGGCCCCAGCATGGTTGGCAGTGGGGAAAGACCTGGCTACACCTGTGGTCATCTGGGGGTTTTGTTTCTTTTTTTTTTTTTCTTGTCTCTTTTTTTGGTTTTGTTTGTTTCTGCCATTGTAATTTAAAAATATTTCCCAGCTGGGACATGGTGGCTTAATCGCAGCATTCTGGGAAGCTGAAGCAAGGGATCACAAATTTGAATGCAGCCTGGACAATTTAGTGACTTAGTGAGACCCTGTCTCAAAATGAAAAGTAGAAAAGGGGCTGAGAAGGTAGATCGGGAGGAAGGCCCTGGGTTTATTCCCCAGTACTATAAACAAAACCAAACAAAACACAGTGAGAACAACAACAAAAATTTTTCTGAATTTATCTTAAGGACTATGAATTATTTAAAAACAACTTCGATACCATTACCATGTCTAAAAAATTAACATTTCTGGGCCAGGGAGATAGCTCAGTAGAATAAGTGCTTGCCTGGCAAGCACAGGGTCCTGAGTTCAATCCCCGGTACCAAAAAAAAAAAAAAAAAAAAAAAATTAACATTTCTCACTGACATCAATATACAGTCAGTTTTCAGATGCCCATACTGTCTTTTTTTTTTTTTTTTTTTATTTTTTTTTGTGTGTGTGTGTGTGTGTGTGTGGCCAGCTCAGCCCACCAGGGGGCGGGGCTGGCTGGCATGTGGTGCTGGGGGATTAAACCGCGGTCCCTGTGCTTTGCTAAGCTTGTTCTAAGTAGGTGCTTTAGACCACTGAGCCATCTCACCAGCCCTGCCCATACTGTCTTGTGAGGTGGTTTTATTTTGTTTTGCTTTACAGTTATTGTTATTCCAATCAGAAGAAGAAACTCTGTGGTCTGTGCAAGTGTACTGGTTGCTATGTCCAGATTTCCCAGAATTCTATAGCTACTTCCCCTCAGCTCCCACACCTTCCCTCTACCTACTTGGTGAGGAGACCTGGTCATTTTCCTATGACCCCAGAAATCTCCATCTTTTGAGGTTTTTTTTTTTTGTTTTGTTTTCTTTTTTCTTTTTTTGCAGAACCAGGGATTGAACTCAGGCCCTTGTGCTTGCCAGGGAAACGCTTATTCTACTGAGCCATCTCCCTGGCCCCATCTTTTGAGTTTTGCCCTTAGCATCACCGTGGTGTAGTTGAACATGTTCCTCTGTCCCTTGGGTGTGAATTGGTCCCAAGGAAGAGCTTGGTGGGGCCAGGTTGCTGTATGGCGCCACCTCTCTACTTTGTGAGTAACAACTGAGGCCTTGGGGCCTAGAGGCTGGTGAAGGTCCCAGAGGAGGCTGGGTAGTGATCAGTGTGGCCTGAGGCCTGGGGGTGGGGGGCAGTGGGGAAGGGAAAGAGGCTCCACAGTCCCAATGGGTATCTGCTTGGCTTAGGGGGAGCTGGAGAGAGGTGGGGAGGGAGAGGGGAGCAATGTGTGGCCGGGTCCCACATTTCTCTTTTCTCACTGTAGCAGCTCTCTTTGTGTGGTGCTGGAGAATGACCCCAGGGCCGTGTGCATGCTAGGCAAGCACTCTACCATGACCTATGGCCCAGTCCTCTTTTAGTGCCATAGAGAATCAGCTTTTATTTTTACAGCAGTATCACCTTACCCGCGGGGATGTGTTCCAGGACACCCAGTGGGTACCCGAATCCATGGACCCACAGAGAAGGTGTTTTCTCCTATACATGCAAAACTATGATAAAGTTTAAATTAGGCATAGGAAGATGTTAACCACAATAGTTAATAATGAAATAGAACAATTACTGCAATATACTTTTTAAAAAAAATTTATTTATTTGTGTGTGTGTGGGGGGCTGGCTGGCATGTGGTGCTGGGGGATTGAACCGCGGTCCCCGTGCTTTGCTAAGCTTGTTCTAAGTAGGCGCTTTAGACCACTGAGCCATCTCACCCGCACCCCCTGCAATATACTTTAATAAATGTTATTAAAACTTTCTAATTGTTTATTTCTAAAGTTTTCTACTTAATATTTTCAGGCCATAGTTGACTGAAGGTAAATGAAAGCATAGATGGGGGCACACTGTAGTTTGAGGGGGGCATCCCATTTCTTCTTTCCAATTTTTGATATAAAAGCTTCCAAATGTATGGAAAGTTCAGTGAAATGGCCACCATTGCTAAGAGCCAGTAATTGCAATTTTTATTAAATTTGTTTTTTTTTGTTTGTTTGTTTTGTTTTGTTTTGAAACAGAGTCTCACTATGCAGTTCAGGCTGACCTTGAGCTCACTTTATATCCCAGGCTGGTCTCAAACTCACAACGATCCTCCTGTCTCAGCCTCCCGAGTGCTGGGATTGCAGACGTGTGCCACTAAATTTGCCTATATGTAGATAGACATTCTTTTTCTCTGACTCTGAGACTTTAGTCCTTAGAATGTAGCTCCTAAAACCCTCCCTCCCACCTTATCATAACCATGTCTCCTGCTGAGCTGCGGCCTGGGCTGGTGGCTGTCAGGCTGCCTCTCAGCTAGTGCTTAGTGGCATGGGCCACTGTTATTTATTCTCCATACTTTACACATGGGAAAACATGCAGAAGTGAAGGGATTCATCCGGGATCACACGGCATGGTGAGAGGCACTCAGGCTAGAACTTACTGGAAGCCAGGGCTGTGTGTTCTTCCCACTGTGACCACCAGGCCCCTCGTAAGGAGCGTTCCCAGGTTTGGGCAGGAGGCTGTGCTTATTTGAGGAAGAGCCACCACCGTGGCCTCCAGGTTTAGGAGCCGAGATGCACAGGTGAAAGGACTTGTCAAGGTCGCTCGGCCTTCAGCCTGTGGCCCCCATAGCCTTGAGCAACCTGTGCTGACTCTGGGCAGGCATGGGGCCGGCGAGGTGGCCTCATGGGGGCTCACTGGGATGCTGGAGTCATCCTAGGCTGCACCAGAGAGTGAGGGACTGGGTGGCCACACCATCAGTGTGAATCCCAGCTCAGCCGCTTTTGAGCTGGGACCTTGAGCAGATGCCTAACCTTGGATGCCCAGTCCCCCTGACCCTGTCTGCCAAGCGTGAGCGAAGGCATGAATGAGGTTGTGTGCCATGCCAGACACAAAGTGGGCACTGTCTTAGTGTCTCCATTCCCAGTCCATCCTCTCCTGCCCCTGGCACTCAGTGTAAGGAGGACCCACCTGAGTGATGTGCCAGCGCACAGATCACAGGGGGCACAGCCTGGCTGCACGTGGGGTTATGGCTCAGGGGTGCAGTGCTTGCCTAATGTGCCCGAGACCCCGGTTTGTCCCCAGCACCATGAAGACCAAGTAGAACCCCTGCCCTTCCCCATGGAGCACAGAATGAAGGTCAGAGGCAGGAGGAGGGTGTGCCAGGGTACACATCTGTGTGGGGCACAGAGGGCGGGGGCACCACCTCAGGAGGGAACAGGGAGCTGAGGGCAAGGAGACACTCAGCTTTAACTGCACCTGGGGAGCAGGCGAAGAGGGGGAGATGGTGGTGTGAAACTGGGCCCCTGTTCTCAGCCTCAGCTGCCCCACCTGGGCAATGGGGTGCAGACCCTGCCTTGCTAGGTTGCATGGGGGACTCGTGGCACTGCAGGTGTGGCCATGCCCTGTGAGCCCTGAGGTTCCTGTCAGTCCCCAGCAAGGCCTCTGCCCTCCCCACGCCCTTGGGAAGGCTCACCTCGTGCTTTCCTCTCCCCAGTGTCGGACAAGTGGTGAATATCAAGGCCAAGGTGAACCGGGCCTTCAACTCCAGCATGGAGGTGTGTGGCGTGCCCTGCAGGGGGCTGGGCTGGCGTCCTTCTCTCCTTCCTCTGGCCCCAGCCCTGGCGGACTCTCCTCTAGGACCAGGTGGGGCGGCAGAGTTCCAAAAGGCCAGTGGGCCCTGGACGAGCCAAAGATCTTCCTGGCCAGCAGCCCACAGCACAGAGGGGAGATGGCGGTCCAGGCAGGGGCAGGGCTTGCCTCAGCAGTGGGAACAGACTTGGGGTCCTGCCCATGTCCTGTCTGCAGCAGCAGGCAGCAGGGGAATGGAGCGGGGGCGGCAGCAGGGGGAGTGTTGGGCTTCGATGGGTGGCTCACTTCCAACTGCCTGTTTCCTCACCTACAAAATGGGAAGGTACTCCTGTGTTGCAGGGATGCTGGGGATTTGATGGGCAGACTTTGTGGAGAGGTGTGGGGCTCTAGGCTTTGCGCCTCTGGGGTTCCATTTCCCCCCTATAAACGCAGGCCCAGGCAGCTTCCTCCAGCTGGGCCACCAGTTTCTGAGGGCTTACAAAGGCTCACCTGTCTCTGGACACTATACTAATGCCTAGGGGCCCCCAGAAACCCCAAGGGGTCCATCCTTTAAGTTTCACCAACATGTTACCTCCTGAAACCCTCTGGTGGACCATGTCATTTTGGTCTTCTCAGGAGTCCTCTATAGATGAGGAAACTGAGGTCCAGGGAAGGGAGGAGATTTGGCCCAGGTTCTTCAGAGAGCTTGGGGCATAGCCAGAACCAACGCAGGTCTCTGGCCTTCTGGACCTCATATGACACTGACAGAGCAAGGGCTAGGCCTGGATGGCCTTCCCGCCTCATCCAGCGGGCCCCAAGGCTGTGAGCTCCATCTCATCCTTCCTCCCCTTCCTCTCTAGGTGGGCATCCAGGTGGCCTCCGAGGACCTGTGCTCTGAGAAGCAGTGGACTGTGTGCAAGGCCCTGGCCACCTTTGTGGCCCACCAACAGCTGTCCAAGGTAGCTGGCTGCTGCTGCTCTCAGGTTACCTGTCATGGTGGGCTCAGGGCAGGACACCTCGGCCCTTGTGCAAGGAAGGCCCACTGCCGCCTGTGCCCAGGGCCCCTTTCTCCCTACCTTATCTGCTCATCGCAGGGGGCTGAGCCTCAGGATGGCCTCATGGTCCACAGCAACACTCTGTTCTCTAGGTCCTTTGCCCAGGGAGGGCTGTGGGGGGGACTGGAAGATGAGTAGGACGCAGCAGGCCAGGTGGAAGCTGGAGTGGAGGGACCCAGCCAGTGGGTGCCCGTCTTGGAGACTGGGGGGACAGCCCCAGGCTGTGTCAGGACACTTGTCCTAAGCACCCCACCATCCCTGGGCCACTAGGTGAAGCTGAAGCAAATCACCCCACGGACAGAGGAGGAGAAGATGGAGCACAGTGTGGCTGCTGAGCGCCGGCGCATGCGGCTGGTCTACGCGGACACCATCAAGGACCTCCTGGCCAACTGCACCATTAAGGATGGTGAGCAGCAGCTGTGAGCGTGGGGAGGGCAGTGGGGGACCCATAAGCGTCTGCCGGGACCCCTGACAAGGCTCAAGGAGGACCCCAGCTCCAGGCCCCTCTTGGACTTGGGGTCTGCTCCAGGAAAGGTTGAGGCATGTTGGGTGACGGGAAGGTGGGGCAGGGGTGGGAAGAGCCATCCTGAGAGGTAACGGAGGGGTGTAGGGCCCTGCACCCTATAACCGCAGCCACTTTCCATAGTGCACATGTAAGTGCTGTCGGGGTGGTCGGCTCCTGTGCTGTATGCGGGGGGGCAGGTGGGGCACAGTGGGTCATGCACCCTGGTGGGGAGAGCTGGGGCTCAGGTCAGGTGCGTCTCCACTTATTGAGTGTCCAGCCTACTGCCTGTGACAGCCTTGTGTTGCTCCTCCATGTCCTGCTCCTCACCCAGGGCCCGTCTGTATCTCGTGCTCACTTGGTGTTGAATACTTAAAGAACCTGGGTGGTATGATGCCCCGGGACTGCTGGGGGATCTGCCTGGCAGGGGGTACCCTCTCAACTCCCTGCTTCCTGCCCTGACCAGACCCCGAGAGCAGGGATTACAGCCGCACGGTGCCGGCCGAGAAGACCCGCGTGGAGAGTGTGGAGCTGGTCTTGCCGCCCCACGCCAATCACCAGGGCAACACCTTTGGGGGCCAGATTATGGCCTGGATGGAGAATGTGGCCACCATTGCAGCCAGGTGAGGGTGTGGCCTCGGCTGCCTCCTTTCTCCTCCCGTTGTTGCCTGGGTGGGAGAAACCCTTCTGGTGTTGGCCTTCGAGGCTTCAGAGCTTGGCCTTCCCAGGATGCTTAGGCCTAAAACAATTGCCTGGCAGCTGGCCATTTATGCCTCTACCCATACATCCCACCACAGTCCCTTGGCCTCCTGGGCAAGCCTCCTCTTGATCAACTCTGGGCTAGGGGTGACGCTCCGTGGTAGAACACTTGTCAGCAGGCACCACAAAAACAACAAACAGAAATCCTTGATTCTGTCTTGCCTGCCCTCCCCCTGGTAAATGGACTGTTTTGGGATCTGGTTCCTTGCCCTCAGCGTGTGACATCCTGCAGCCACTGTATTGTCTGTTGGCCCTCCCCTCCCCTTCCCCTCACGCCCAGCTGCCTCTTGACTCTTCCCTTTCTCCTAGCAGTGGAAGCTATTTCTCTCATCTGGGGTGTGTCCTATCCTTGTTTGGGTTTTTAGCATCGAATGTATGACAGCTGCCATGAGAGTTGGTGCTGGAAGCTCCATGACTCTGTACTTGTTGTCCGACCCCCCCATCCCTCCCCCACCCCCATGCCCTCCTCTGTGAGGCGATTCTTCCTCATCCCTGGGGCTGGTGAGGCAGCCTGTCCTCTGTGACTGACCTGGGGGACACAGTGAGGAAGTGGTGCTGTTCTGAAGCCTGGGCTAGGGGTGAGATCGCTGAAGTCAGGGAAGGCTTCCTGGAGGAGGAGCACTTTGGCTTTGAATGACAGGAGCTGTGGGGGAGGAGAGGCTTCCAGGCAGTGGGACAGCAGGGGTTAAAGGGTAAAACGGGGGTGGGGGTGGGGAGCTGGGACTTCCTTAGGCTTCCTTCTGCCAGCTCAGCCTCCCTTCCTTCCCATCCCTCCGGGTCGACCTCAATACCAAAGGTGTGGGAAAGGACTTTAATGCTGTCCTCTAAACAGACCTGTCCCTGGGTTGGGTCCCAGGGTGTACATGTGGTTCCCACCTGGGACTGGGAGAAAGCTGGACCAGGCCGGCGGCCACAGCCCTGCTGCATCTCTTCTGTCCCTGCAGCCGCCTCTGCCGGGCCCACCCCACGCTGAAGGCCATCGAGATGTTCCACTTCCGGGGCCCGTCCCAGGTCGGGGACCGCCTGGTGCTCAAGGCCATCGTGAACAATGCCTTTAAGCACAGGTGAGGGTGGGTGCAGGCAGGGTCTGAGCCCCACACGCAGCTCCGTCTGGGCTCCCAGCTCATCGCTGTGCTGTCTCCCGCGGCCCCAGGAGCTCAGCGTCCTGCTCTGGGCCACCTCTCACCAGAGCAGAGCTGCCTCTCAGAGCCAGGAGGCCTTGCTGCAGGGAGAGTGCAGACGCTGGTTAAGGCTGGCCAGCGGGGCTGGCAGGTGATGTTTGGCTGCTGCTGAATCCTCTTCCTGCCGGCTCTGCGACCTTGGGCAGAGTATTGCCTCGTGCCAAGCTTGTGTATAAGATCCCCCTTCTGCTGTCACAGAACTTCCTAAATACAGATAGTGGTGGCTGTGGGCATTTTCTTCTATATATACAGCACTGGGGACTGAACCCACGGCCTTGCCAGGGAGCTGCATCCTAAGCCCTTTCCGATTTTTACGACAAGATCTTGCTAAGTTGGCTGTGCTGCACTCAGCCTCCCAGGATGCTGGGATTCCAGGCCTGTGCCACCATGCCCGGCTGTGGCTACTAATTTATAATTAATAAAGATAATAAGGCATGGCTAGATGGCCGCGCCACGCAACTGGGAACCTGTGGGATGAGTGAGGCTCCTAATTAGTCTGTCCACCTCTTGGACCTGCAGAGATTAGAACTGTGTTATATGTCTTTGTTGGAAGAACTGCAGGAGGGTGTGTGCGGGTGTGTTCATGTGTGTGCGCGTGTGCGCGTACAAGTGCGCATGGGGGCTGGGGAGGCTGTGGCCTTGGGGACATCTGGCCAGCCCTCGAGCAGTCCCTCCCCTCCCCACCACCAGCATGGAGGTGGGCGTGTGCGTAGAGGCCTATCGCCAGGAGGCCAACCCCCACTGGCGCCACATCAATAGCGCCTTCATGACTTTTGTGGTCCTGGATGCAGATGACCAGCCCCAGAAGCTGCCCTGGATCCAGCCGCAGCCCGGGGTAAGTGGGGTCTGTGGAGCGCGGGGTACTACAGGGGCCAAGGCTGCGGGGTCACAGGCAGGCCTGGTCTCCAGGCTGTATCTGAAGAGAAGCTGTGCCCGCTTCTCACAGGGCAGTCACGCCGGGCAGGTGGTCATCAAGGTGAGGGCCACTCTGCAGGTGAGCACCTCCCCCTTGCCCCGCTCCCTGCTGGCTGCCCCGTGGCTGGCGTGGCCGGCACAGCCTGTGGTGTGGAGCTGCAGGGCTGGGGGTGGCCACAGGGGGAGGGGCTGAGGGAGTGAGCTGTGTGGCCATCTCTTTTTACTTATTTTGAAACAGGGTCTTGCCAAGTGGCCCAGGCTGGCCTTGAACTTGCAGTCCTCCTGCCTCAGCCTCCCAAGTAGCTATGATCACAGGCGTGTGCCAGCTGGCACTTGCCTTTCATGCTTATGAGTGGAAACTTTAGAGGTGGTGGTGTGAGGGTGGGCTCTGAGTCAGGCCACCTGAGTTCACTCTGTATTCTGGCCCAGAGCAAGCCACTCCACCATCTCGGACTCAGTTTCCCCATCTTTGTTATGGGGAGAGTGCCTGCCAGCCTCTGGAGTTTGCCATGGGAGTGACAAGTTCTGAAAGGGGCTGGTTCATAGCAAAGCCTGGGTATGCAGGTGGTCACAGTGGTGCTCTCTGAGAGGCCCTTTGTGATGGAGGGGGAAACTGAGGCCCGGCAAGGGGAAGTGGCATTCCCCGGAGGAGTCAGGGCTGCAGCGGGTGCCCACACTTTCCTGGCCAGGGTGTTTGAACTTCAGCTCTCTGGAGACCTGAGCTCCATATCCTGGTGCAGGGGGTACAGGGAGGGGCAGAGCAGGGCCTCCCTGGTGTCCCCCCATCTGCAGCTTGTCCCTGCTTCCACCCAGGATGGTGAGCGGCGCTACCGAGAAGCCCAAGCCAGGAAGAAGATCCGGCTGGACAGGTGAGTGGGAATAGGTGGAGGGCAGTGCGTGGGCTGTCCCCGCTCCATGACCACAGGGCACACCGCAAATTTGGACTGGTGGGGTGTCGGGCTGGGTCCCTGTCACCGACGCAACCCTTAGACAGCGGGCTTGTGGCCCATCAAGTAGGCCAAGAGACGTGGGACAGGAATTTGGTGGCTCCTCCATCTACACACAGGCAGGTGGTGCTGACAACCAGCAGTTGAACCTGACAGGGGCCAGGTGACAGCAGATCGTGTGTTTCTACTGGCAGAGAAAAGCAGGTTGGGAGAGGATAGCAGGGGCTCAGGCCGTGAATCCGTGACCCTGCTGCGAGAGTGCCTCTCAGTGGCAGAGTGCTGAAAATGTACTGGGTGCCCGGAGACTGAGTCAGGGGAGGGTGCTCCAGCAGGCTGGGAGGCTGAGGCAGGAGAATCTCAAATTAAGCCCAGCTTGGGCAACTTAGTGACTTAGTGAGATCATGTCCTTCCTAAAATAAATGGGGAGCCAGATATGGCAGTGCACACCTGTAATCCCAGCTCTTGGGAGCCTGAGGCAGGAGGATCATTGTGAGTTGGAGGCTAGCCTGGGTTACAAAGTGAGCTCAAGGCCAGCCTGAACTACATAGTGAGAGCCTGTGTAAAGCAAACAAACAAACAAAAAAATGGAAGGAAAAGAAGAAGGAGGAGGAGGAGGAGAAGGAAATGCAGAAGGGGGGACTGAAGGAAGGAAAGGAGGGAAGGTGGGAGGAAAAAGGAAGAGAAGGAGCAACAGGAGGGAGGGAGGTGTGTGCTGATGGAGCAGTTGCGGCTAGCGCTGTGCTCCAGGGAAAGGCTGTCGGGCTGGTGTGACTCTGCCCCATTTCTCAGAGGAAGACACTGAGGTGAAGGTGTGGTCACTCCGCAAGGTGTGGAGGGAGCCTTCAGCTGCCCTCCTGCCAGGTGGTCCCTCCCCTGGCTGAGGTCCGGTCCTCAGCAGGTGTCCTAGGTGGCAGGCGAGCAGTCTGTGTCCCCCCCCACTCAGCCAGAGCCCGCCCTCCACCTGCCCGCCCTCTGGCCTCTACCCCTTGGGCCCAGCAGGAGGCTTCCCAGGGACCCAGCGTGCCATCTTCTCCCCTCCCAGGAAGTACATTGTGTCCTGTAAGCAGGCGGAGGTGCCCCTCTCTGTGCCCTGGGACCCTAGCAACCAGGTAAGGCCCTCTGCTCCCAGGGGACCATCTCCAGGTCCGTGGGCCTCCCCTGGTAGACAGAGTGGTTTGGAACAGGGCTGTGGGGAATCCTCCACTGTGGGGGTCTGAACCAGCTGAGCTTCCTTGCAGAGCCCCTCTCCCCAGTAACCCCAGCTTCCTGGCTCTGGCTCTTCCCCTGTGCCCTACACAGCGTCAGTGGGGTGCCCAGAAAGGATATAGCATCTGTGTGCTCTCCCCAGGTGTACCTGAGCTACAACAATGTATCTGCCCTGAAGGTGCTGGTAGCCAAGAGCAATTGGGTGCTGTCCTCAGAAATCAACCAGGTAGCTGAGCCTGCCCCATGTCCTGTCCCTTCTGAATGGTTGCAGAAGGCCGGGGGCCAGACGCAGGAGCTCTGAGAGCCTTTCTTTGAGCTCTAGAAACATGCCTATCCCTTGACTGAGGTGGAGAATCTCCGACCTTCGATCCTCGCAGGGTGGGCAGAGAAAACCCCAGCTCTCCACTCTGGGCTGTGCCCTGGGGTGGGTCCTCACTCTGCCTCCGATGTTAGGTTGGGAGCTCCGGCGCTGCAGGGCTGTGGTGCTGCAGGGCTGTGACGCTGCCGCCTCGGTCGCTGCCGCCGCCCTTTTCTGCTGTGTTCTCTGGGTCCCCCTGCACTGGCTCAGGAGCTGAGTCGCCCGCTGGCAGCCAGTATCCCAGCAGGCTACACCTGGCCAGCACAGCCCCAGAGGACACGCGACTGAGGCTGCGCCTGCCGGGGCAGGTCCACCTGTACACCCTGGAGGAGGACAAGTTCCTGTCCTTCCACCTGGAGATGCTGGTGCATGTGGATGCTGCCCAGACCTTCCTGCTGCTTTCGGACCTGCAACGGAGGCCAGAGTGGGACAAGCACTACCGGTGAGGCGGGGCTTGGGCAGGCTGTGTCCTCCACCCAGGTCACCTCTGTGCCTGGCTCAGGGTAGGTGGAGGTGCCGGTGGTCGTGAGCACTCAGAAGACCCTGGGCTTGGATTTGGGGGCCTGGGTGCCCTGTTTCTGCCCCTGCTGCCCTCGTGCCTTTGAGCAGGTCCTTCCTTTCTGACTCCATTTCCAGCCTTAAAACGCTCCCAGAGAGGGCTGGGTCACATCCTTGCGCTCAACGATATTAGAGTCCCTTTCAAGTTGAGCTCTGTGGGGGCTCAGGGGCTGCTTGTGGGTTGGGAGGCAGAGCGGTGCCTGGGCCCCTCCCAGGCGCAGTGCAGTGAACAGAATGGCCAACTTCAGACTTCCTATAAGCAGGTATAGGAGTAGGCTCTTAAATAGCGACTGTGAGCCCAAGAGCTACTCCTTTGAGGAGTCTGCTCCCCACGTTCACCATTCTCTGTATAAATATCTTCCAGAATTTATGGCCCACTTCCTACCAGAGTGGGCCATTCACAGCTCTTGTGCCCCAGCTTCCTGCCCAGTGTCCTTGCTGACAGGGTCCTATGGGCTTAAAAATCCTGGGTCTGGGCAACCCAGGCCCGCAGCAGGTGTGTTAAACCCTTGGATGGCTCTAGGGACTATTGGTGAAGACATTGCTAGATCTAGATGGAACGGGTGATGGGGAGAGAAAGCCCCTGGCTGGCTTTCCTGGGGCCGCCATAGCAGGGCACCTGAGGCAGCTTCCGGGTGTGCATGGAGCTGGCTGGGTGTGGATAGCTCATTCCACTATGTGGGAGTCCTGTGTGCATACGTGTGTGTGTGTGGGACCTGGGTGTGTGGGGCCCATATGTGGGCCCTGGACAGGCTGGACACCCCAGCCCTGGTTCCTCGCCAGCTCTGTGGCTATTTGTGTGCCAGTGCCCTCCTCTATAGTGGAGGATACTGTGGCCCTACCCCCAGGGTTGCTGTGGAGATTTAGTGCCGCACCCTGAGCAGTGCCTGGTACAGCAAGGACTCACTGAATACTAAGACATCTTCTGATTTTTTCTTTGGCACTGGGGATTGAACTCAGGACCTTGTGCTTGCCAGGCAAGTGCTTATCTTACTGAGCTATCTCCCAGCCCCTTTTATTTGACACCTTCTGAATTGTCGTGGCCACATGGGGTATACACACAGACACAAGGACAGCCGTGGATCTGTGTGCTCATCCTTGTTTATCTCAGTGTCCATGTGTGTAAATGTCTGTACAGGGCTTTGTGTGTGTGTGTGTGTGTGTGTGTGTGTGTGTACATGCTTGTTTGTTGGTTGTGTACTCTGTGTGTCTATGTGAGCGTCTGCTTGTGTCTACCTCCTGTGTCCCCTTGGCTGGGCCTTCTTGCTCCCCGCAAGCTCTGGGGAGCCACCATGGGCTGCCTGCCTGGGCCATGTGCATGTGGCATGGGAGGCTGGGCGGCCCTGAGCAGCAGTGTCCCACAGGAGCGTGGAGCTCGTGCAGCAGGTGGACGAGGACGATGCCATCTACCACGTCGTCAGCCCTGTCCTCGGCAGCGATGCCAAGCCCCAGGACTTCGTGATACTGGCCTCACGGCGGAAGCCTTGTGACAATGGGTGGGTGCCTGCCTTCAGGGGTGCTGCAGAGTGGTTGGTGGGAGGGTTTGGCTGAGACCCATGGCTCTGCTTGACCTGGCTGTGGGACCCCTGAGCCACACAGTTCTAGGCTGTCCTGGGTTGGCTGGGATAAAGTGGGAGACAAAGGCACATACTTGTATCCTATGACAGGGCCAGTGATGACCTGGCCCTCAAGGCTGCCTCCCCCAAGGCTGTGACGAGCAGTTCTCGTGTGGCCACCCTTTGGCCCCTGTCCCCAGGAACCTGTGTAATTAGAGGCAGTGAGCTTGCCAGCTGTGCTGGGTAGGAGGACAGGACAGATGGTTCCATTCTTGCTGTAGATAAGACAGGGAGGAGAAGAACAAAAATCTGAAGCCAAGCTCAGTGGTGTATGCCTATGACCCAGCACTGTGGGCGGCTGAGTCAGGAGAGCCCCAAGTTCAAGGCCAGCCTACAGAGGGTGGGGCACATATAACTCAGTACAAGGTGCCCGGGTTCAGCCCCTCATACCAGAAAAAACAAAAGCAAAAGCAAAAACCTTTTTTGCCTGTCAACCTGTAATCTTGGGAGGCTGAAGCCGGATTTTTATGAGTTTGAGGTCAGCCTGAACTACACAGCCAGACCCTGCCTCAATGCAAAAATCCACAGCTCTTCCCAGCATATCCAGGGTAGCAGAGCCTCTCCAGAAACCCCTCAGGGGTCATACTGACTCCTAGGAGACCCTGTACTGGGACGCCAGGGTACCACTTTCCAGGCTGGCCCTGAGCCAGATGTCACTTGAGAACTTCACCCCCTTCTGGTCTGCCTCCCCTTCAGGGACCCCTACATCATCGCGATGAGGTCGGTCACGCTGCCTACACACCCTGAGACGCCTGAGTACCACCGTGGGGAGACACTGTGCTCAGGCTTCTGCCTGTGGCGAGAGGGGGACCAGTTGACCAAGGTAAGTCCTGGGGTCCCTCATTCCCTGAGGCTGTGCCCTGTTGAAATTCACTGAGCTCAGTACTACTGGAGTCGACCATTCCAGACCCTGCCGCCTCTTCCAGCCCAGGAGAGCTGGGTGTGTAGGAGCTGAAAATGGTCCCCTCTGAGATCTGAGGTCAGAGGCTGCTCCAGGGCCCTGGTGAAAGCTCCGATGCTGCACACAAAAGACCGGGGCCCATACAAAACTCCACCTCATTATTTGCCTAGATGTCCCTTCTCCTCCAAGGAGGCTTTATAGGGCTCCCAGGGCCTATAAAACTCAGCAGAGCAGTTGGTGTTGATTGAAAAGGTGGGGAGGAGGCTGAGAGGGGTACCATGGTTCCCTGCATGGCCTGCGGCTTCTGCAGCCCCTTTCTGGCTGCACTGGGGGACTCAGCCTGTGGCTGACACAGGAATCACTTGTGCATGGGGGCACCTTGGAGTGGTCCCTGAGCTTAGTCCGTGGCCCCAGTGCATCCTGATTGAAGAGGATTCAGTGCTGGGTTCTGGGGACCCACCAGGGGCTCCTGATTGGAGGAAAGGTGCAGGTGACGGTCAGCACCTAAGGGAGGGTTCAGGGGAACCGGCAGAAGAGGTCATGCTTGCCAGGTTGCAGTTTTCTAACTGACTTTCAAGAGCCCAAGGAGCTGGCTTGAGGTTGCTGCCCTCCCGGAAGCTGGGCATCCCCAGCACCCCCTCCTGTCCCCCCGTCCACTCTGAGCACAGCTCTGCCCTGCAGGTGTCCTACTACAACCAGGCCACCCCTGGCTTTCTCAACTATGTGACCTCCAACGTGACTGGCCTGTCCTCAGAATTCTACTCCACCTTCAAAGCCTGTGAGCTCTTCCTCCTGGACAACCGGAATGACCTGGCCCCTAGTCTGCAGACACTCTAGGGGCCCACTGCATGAGGACGGACGCACGCACAGTGCAGGGAGGAAGGCCAGGTGTTTATTCATCCTGCCTCCTCCCTGAAGCCTCGGCCCAGGGCTCGGCAAGCCCAGCGCTGCCAGGCAGTCAATTCCTGCCAAGGTCTGCCAGCAAGCTTTGGCGCTGCTCCTGGGGCAGCCTGTAGTAGACTCGGCTTTTGTCCTCGGCCCTGGCTGCCAGCAGCCCAGCCCGCACAGCTGCAGGTCTGCTCCCAGCATGGTTGCTCTGCACAGTGACAGTGGCTCGGGGTGAGGCTGCCAGTAGCCTGGCTACTACCTCTGCCTGGCTCTGTCCCAGTGGCCCAGCCTGTACCTGGAAGGACATAGGTTGCCAGAGATCCTGGCACAGTTCCAGCATATCTGTGATCAATTGCTTCCTGTAGCCACCATCCAGCACCTCCTCAGGCCAGCCTGGGGCCACTGTCAAATGGGGGAAAATGTCAGCCACAGCTGTGATCAGTTCTCTGCCATCCACATGGCCAGGGATCACAAAACTGCCATGGGAAACTGTGGCTCCAACCCACACAGGTCGGGGCAGGTGGCCAAGGAAGGAGAGGCGTGCCAGGATGGTCAGGGCTGGCCGGAGGGCTGCAGGCTCTGCTATATTCACGTGGACAGCCCAGTGTCCAGGGCGCTTGGACAGCTGCAGCAGGGATGATTCTAGTGTCAGCACAGGGTCACTTGGGGCACGTACGACAGGCACAGAGTCCCTGGCTGCAGGTCCTTGGAGGCCGATGTCCAGCAGGATCATGCCATCTTTGTCTGTAAAGACAATTAGCTGTGACTCAAGCCATTGTGGGTGTTAGAGACCCCTACTAAAGGCACAGTGGAAGGAGGGTCACAGGGTTAGCTGAAGCAGGGCCAGGGCTTGGTTCTAGGCTCTGTGTGCTATGCCTGACTGACACAATCAGCTGCCAGCTTGGCCCTTGGCCTTTACTTGGGACTCAGACCTGGGCCGGCCCTCCTCTAGCACCATGTGGCTGAGGACTGGAGGGCACTGCCTGAAGGCCAGGAGCCCCCTGCTCTTAGGCACTGCCATATTCCCTTCCACCACACTTTGTATCCACTACTGGCTGACCTGGGCCTGTGTTGCCATGGTATCAGACCCAAGGTACCCACTTAAGCACAGGGTATCCCTGCAGGGCAGTGAGGAACACAGGTTGTAGGCACTTACCTGGGAGGGTGACCATGGCCATAGTCCCATTGCTGTGAACTTCCGGAACCAGCCACTCCAAGCCCAGACCATCACCCCCTTGGAGCTGGAGAAGAGGCTTCAGGCTGCCACCTGTGTAGTACACCTGCTTCCTTGTGGCGTTCACTGTGGGGAACAAGAGTACCCAGGTGAGGTGGCTGCCATTGCTCACACAGTGCCTTCTGTGTGCCTGGGCCCAGAAAAACCCACCAGGTAGCTGCCCTCTCCCCCTTGGCGGATTAGAAGATGCCACCTGCCGAAGATTCGGTAGTAGTGAGTTGCTAGAACCAGGCTGAACCAGCTCTGTTTGGCTCTAAGGCCAGCATCCTTCCCCTTTGCCCAGGGCTCCCTGGCAGGAATGGTGCCTGATGGGACCTCTTGGGCTGGCTTAACTGCGGGCCCTCCTGGGTTCAGGGTCAGGAGTACCAGGGTCTGGCAGAGGCACATCTGATTGGTGGGGTGGGCACAGGGAAGGGCTGGGCTCTCGGAAGCAGAGGGAATGCCCAGAGGCTTTGCGTTTGGCTGGGTCCCATCCACTGAGCATGCCGGCTGACTCAATTCCTTAGCTGTTCTGAACCTCCATGTCCCTATGGCTGTGTGAAGCTTGGAAGGCATACCACCCACTGGCTGGCACACAACAGGGACTCGGAGATTCGAGCCTCCCCTTCTACCCAGCGTTCCTCGCTTCCCTTCAGTTCCCCTCAGCCCACCAAAGGCTGCCCTGTGCAGTCATCCCAGGCCCTGACCCAGGCTCCCTCCTTACAAGCCAACTGCTTAAACTGTGACAGGACAGGCTCGAAGAGGTCATAGTAGACTCGGTGGGTCTCCGTGTTGTCCCGGATGTAGAGGAGGTCGTCCACTGACACAGGGTCGGTGGTGCCCTGCCACAGTGTCAGGGTGTACCTAGGTTCAGAGAGCTAGCTTAGTGCCTTCCTGGGACTGGAAGGCCCTCAGGCCCAAGCCTGTGCTCAGAACCAGACAAGACTAGGCTCAGATGGAGGAGTTCTGCCCTCCAGCCCTCTCCCTGGGTCTTAGGCATTCCCTGGGGCTGATGAAAGCAAAGGTCTAGGAGGGAGGTGGTACCCAATGGCACATCTGCTCCTTAGTCCTGTCAGGAGAGGGACAAGGACAAAAGAGTCAGAGGAGCAAGGGCATGGGGGGCTACCCCGAGGCCTTCTAGCTGTGTGAATCAGAGCCTAGGGGTAGGTTTGGAGCTAGCAGGGCTGTGATGGAAGCCTTCGGATCTTTACCTGTCAGATTGGTCCAGCAGCCAGCTGAAGTGGGGCCAGGCCGCCCGCACCATGACAGCCCGCACAGGGAAGGTGACCTTCTGCGGCACCGCCCCCACCAGATCCTGCATCTCCTCCAGCATGGCCTTGGTGTAAGGGCTGGTGAAGAGCGGGGGTGCATAAAGGGTGGTCCAGCCCACGGATAGGGTGGTCCTGGGGTATTTCTCCTGCACCAGTGCCAGGAACCTGCAGAGCAGCAGACAGTGGCATGCAGAGCCTGCTAGCCCCTCTCCTTCCCTCCCTCCAGGTGCTCAAGAGTGGAAGGAGGGGGCAGGATCTGTGGGATCTGTGACAGAAGCGTGGCAGCACAGCCCTGCACACAGAAGGGCTGCGCGTGGTCGCATGGTCACATGGTCCCACCGTCCAGTCCGGACTCTATCTTTGGGTGGATTCTAACTCAGTGTCCCCTCTGGAAGGATGGGGCTTCCCTTAAACATCCCCATACAGACAGGAGACTGGAGTGGAGCCCCAAGGGGTGCAGGTCTGGACTCTGCCAGTTGTGAGTCTCTAAAGTATCATTAAAAAAAAAAAGAATTTAGCCCTGATGCAAATCTTAACAGGCAGACAGGGTTGCCCAGTCCCCTCTCCCCAGTGAGGGGAGGAGAACACTGAACACTGCACGAGGTGGGCCCTTTTCATCTCGGGCGGTGAGTGCTGCTTACCAAGTGCACCTCTGTGTGTTGGGTAGACAGACAGGTGGGTGGGTGAGAGAGGGAGGGTCAAAGAGCACAGAGCTTAGCAGCGAAAGGCCTCAGTTTGAATCTGCCACTCTTAGACTTGGGCAGGCCCCGTGACTTCTGTGAGCTAGTTCTTGTACTGCTAACATGGAAAGCATAGCACCTACCTCATGCTCCCTAGAAGAGTCAATGGTATTTTGCAACTAAGTGCTTAGAGCCATGCTGGCGACACATAATAAACATTCGACAAATTGAGATCCAGTTCCTGTGAGTTTTTTTTGCAACTTCAAAATGGGGAGGAGGAAGCACTCCTAACCTGGCAGTGCCAATCCTGTTAAGGATTGGGTTGCAAGCACCACTCCTTACTTAACCCTTTTTGGATGCAGACCTGTGTGGCAGAGCTCACAGGGTTGCTGGTGGAGGAGCAGGGCTGAACTTCCAGGAGGGTGGGGAGGAAGCCAGGCTTCGGACTTTTCTAGAAAGCCAAGTCCTGTTTTTGTTGCTGGGGAGCAGGGAGCACTTGGTCCTGCTTGCTGTCCAGGAGTCCGCTGTGTCGCTGGGGCCACAAACCCGCAAGCCAACAGTGACTGGCCAGCAGCATCAGGACTGTTAGGAAGTTGGGGAGCTGGGTGAGCCTACAGGAAGTCCCTCCATATTCTGGGGAGCCAGGGATGGTTGAGGGCAGCAGTGACCAGGCTGAAGCTCATCAGTGAAGAAGGGGCTGGGTGGTCGTGCACTCCTGTAATACCAGCAGCTTGTAATCCCAGCACTCAGGAGGCTGAGGCAGGAGGACTGATGTGAGTTCAAAACCAGTCTGGGATACATAGTGAGTTCAAGGCCAGCCTGCACTGACAGTGAGACTCTTAGTGTCTCAAAAAAGAAAAGAAACAAAAAGAAAAAAGGGGTCTCAGGCTGAGGAAACACGCACAGGCTCATCAGTGAGACTGTAAGCACACTCGGGTCTTCTAGGGTCCCCTTCCTCCTTAGAGCTGAGCACTCACTGTGTGGCATTGACTGGAACTGAGATAAAATTGTTGGGACCGGGCAGGATGTCAGCATTGATCCACACGGGCCTCTGCACCCTGCCGGCGTCAGTCAGCTGCCGCAGTAGGTCCAGCGAGGGGCTGACAGCCTTGATGCTCTTGAAGTCCAGTTTGATGCCTGTGGAGCGAAGGCAAGAGCTTGAAGAACTGGCTGCGGGAGCAGGAAGAACCCTAGAGCAGAGGGAGAGGTGGGCATGTGTGGTGGGGTCTGCAAGGTGGGAAGATGGGGGGTGGGTCCTGGCAGGCCGAGTACCGCCGGCCTACAGGAGCGTGGAAGGGTAGCAAGAGTAACCCTGAGGGCAGCTGAGGAGGGGCCTTGGATCCTGGGCAGGGTGGGCTTGGAGGGACCTGCGACACTGGGGCCCAAAGGAGGTTCCTCAGCCTCCAGGAAGAGGGCAGTGCAGGCAGGGGCACGCGCCAGTGGGGGTGGGAACCAGTGTGAGCGAATGCCCATCAGGGCAGCAGAGACGAGGCCGCGATGTTACAGAAAGATAGTCTAGGGCTGGCCAGATAGCTCAGTTGACTAAAGCATCTGCTTAGAGGGCAACAGCCGGGGTTGATCCCCAGTGTGCCAGGCCGGCCCTGCCCCCAGGGCTCCCTGAGATGGGGACTGAGACTGGGTGTGGTGGCATGTGCCTGTAATCCTAGCACTTGGGAGGCTGAAAATAGGAGGATCACTACAAGTCCAGTCTACATAGTAAGACCCTGTAGACCCTACAGACTGTACCAAACACACACACAAAATAGTGTAAGCCTGGCCAAGAGAATGAATGGAGTCCTCACAGACATGCAAGTATGAACCCCTCGTAGTCAAGGAAGACTAGAGTGGAGTGAGGAAGGCGGCCCAGGAGAGATAATGTGGTTCGAGCTGGGCTTCCAGTTAGCAGATGTGGTCCAGGCCTGTGATTTTGCCCTGTGCTACCAGGGTAAATAAAAGGGACTGGGGATATAACTTAGTGGTAGAGTGCCACTGGTTAAGCCCCCAGTCTTGCAAGGTAAGCTAGCTAGACAGATAGATGGATCGATGGTGGGGATGTGGCTCAGTGGGAGGGCGCTTGCATAGTGGTCATGAGGCTCTGGGTTTGGTGCCCAGCACCCCTGGGAGAGAAATGAAGATGATACTCAGATCCTGCTGTAACAGGCAGTGGGACCCGAGGACATCAGGGTGGAACTGGGCTTTCAGCCTGTTCTATCCGGTCTGTGGATCCTGTCTGTAGATCCCAGAGGGACCACCCTGTGCGCGGCTGGTGTCTCAACTGTGGGTCCAGCTGAGACAGGGCTGAACTTGTGCTCCCACAACAACATCTCCCCGAGCCTGGGCATCTGTCAGAGGGGAAGCTGAGGCAGAGCTCCCCACACATGGAGACCACAGCTCTTACCCTTCTGGGAGCGGGATAGCACGGTGTCCAGCCAGTGCTGCAGCGTGTTGTCACTGTAGATGGCTGGCGGGTGGGCCATGATGGGAACGCCTGTCTCATTGAATGTGTTGAGCCCTTCTATATTGACATCCGCCTCCAGGACCATGGAGTCGCCTGTCGAAGGGGGAACACTTAAGTCACTTCCTTTTTGTTTCAGTTACTTCTTACTCCTTGCGGGGACAAAATACCGACACTCAAACTTAAGAAAGGAAAGGTTTATTTAGCTCACAGTTTGTGCAGGTTTTAGTCCATATTTGGCTGGCTCCCAGGCAGAGTGGCACATGGCAAGAGCAGTAGTTTAGGGTGGCAGATAACAGCAAAGAGCAAAGCCAGGGCAGCAGCTGCGCTCCCAGCCAGCCTCTCTCCCCTCCTTATGTCATAAACGAGCTGCTGGGAGCTGGGGGTGTAGAACTTACACAATGTCCATCTCTTCCGCAGGATGAGGATGTTTATAAATTAAGAATCTTGGCTCTCTGCTGAGTCACTTAATTAAACTTCTCAAGTTAACACACTGTATCAATAAGTACACTTTTGTAAAGCAATTGTTCAGCCTCCTGTAGTGATTCACACCTGTAATCCATCATTTAGGAAGCAGAGGCAGGGTTGCCATGAGTTTGAGGCAAGCCTGGGCTACATAGTGAGCTCAGGGCTCAAAGCCAGTCTGAACTACATAGCAAGACCCTATTTCAAGAAGCCAAAAAGTTTTTCCTTATCAAGAACATTAGGGGCTGGGTAGATGGCTCAGTGGAATAAGCGCTTCCCTGGCAAGCACAAGGGCCTGAGTTCAATCCCCGGTTCTGCAAAAAAAAAAAAAAAAGCATTATGATCTGTTACAGAGCTAAATGGGGTGGTGCAGCCTAGAACTCCAGCACCTGGGAGGCTGGAGCAAGAGGATTGCCACAAGTTTGAGGCCAGCCTGAATTACACAGTGAGATCTCCTGTCTCAAAAAAATAAAATAAAATAAAATAAAATAGAAAAAGAAAAAAAAAATCAATAATCCCCGCTTGAGGGGGGCGGGGGAAATCAATCAATGAAGGAGCTGGGGAGATGGCTCAGTGGATAAGTGCTTCTCTGGCAAGTGCAAAGGCCTGAGTTCAATCCCTAGTTCCGGAAAAAAAAAAAAATCCGCTGTACAATACTTGAAAAATACAGAAAAGCATAAGGAAGAGAAGTGTGTTTAGCACATTTCCATAGTCCTTTGTTGTGCTTTCATTTTTTCTCTGCCTACTTTTTGTACAGGTGAAACTACCCTGCACTTACAATCTATTTTTCTTGAAGAATTATGACACATTTTCACAATCCTTTATACATCTCATGAAAACAATGGCTAGGAAAACTGGCCTGAGAATGCTATGAGAGGGCCACGCATCTCCCACCTCCGAGACAGTTCTGGTGCTTTCTAGTTTCTTGCAATTAAGAAATAATGATTCATGTTTTATTCTGATTTCCTAATGACAGCCTCTGAGCCCTCTTTGTGGAATTTGAGTTGGGGCAAAATGGAATGATGACAAAGCTCCTTTTGCATTACTTTACAGACAAGATTGAATTCACTGTCTCAGCCAGGGTATACAAGATGGCCCAACTGACCGCTCCTTACCACTGAGGGGCACGGCTACTTTTGTTTTTTTGAGACAGGATTTCACTATGCAGTTCAGGTTGGCCTTGAGCTCACTTTGTAGCCCCTGGAACGCCTGATGATCCTCCTGCCTCAGCCTCCAGAGTGCTGGGATTACAGGCGGCACTGCTACTCTTATCACCTAAACTCTAAGTTAACTCAATCGGCTGGTGCTTTCCCCTCTTGCACCGCACCCCTCCGTCTCTGCGGAGCTTGTGGCATGTGATAGATAGCTAAATACATGGAAACCATTGTGTAGGTAGACAGGTGTTGGGGGAAGTCAGCCCAAAAGAGGAAGGCCTAAAGCCGGGTGTGCTGGCCCACACTGCAGTCCCAGCACTCGGGAGGCTGAAGTTCGAGGATTGCCTGGGCTACCTCGTGAGTTCAGGGCCAGCCTGAGCTATGAGTTGAGTCCCTGTCCCCCAAAAATTCCTGGGCTGGGGAGATAGCTCAGTGGTCTATCTAAGCACCTGCCTGGCAAGCACAAGGGCCTGCGTCCGTCCCCCGTAGTGAATGCCTTGTCAGCTCCAGAACCCCGGGCGTGCCATGCAGCCCTTGAAATCAGGGGTGGAGGTGCACACCTATAATCCCAGGGCTGGAGAGGCTGAGACAAGAGGATCACTATGAGGCTGTGGTGACCCTGTACCAAATAAATAAAATTACCTCTGGCAAAGGGCTTTGGTGGCTTCCCATTCAGAAACCCTCCTGGAAATTCACAAGTTATTTATTTTTTAATGTATTTAGTATAGTGTCTACAGGGTCTCACTATGTAGATCGGACTCAGTGATCCTCCTGTTTTCAGCCTCCCAAGCACTGGGATTACAGGTATGCACCACCATGCCCAGCCTCAAATGCTGTCTCAGCAAGCCCTGGGGCAGGGCTGGCACAGCAGGCTGGAGATCAAACCGGTCCTTGTGCCTGCTAAGCAGGTGCTTTATCCGCTGAGCTATCTGGCCAGCCCCAGAAGTTATCCTTTTTATTTCCAATAAAACTCTAACTTCGCCTTTGGTTTTTTTCTTCACTCCTAAATGTTGTGAGACTAGGAACTAAACATACCTAGCAGGTTGGGAATTATTTTCTACAGCAGAGTGGGTGGGTGTTTGAAACACACTCCGGACCATGCCACTTCCTGTTAAAAACCAAAATCCCACTGTGGACTCAAATCTGAGCTCCTCCCTGTGGTCCATGGTCTGTGTGACCAGGTCCCTCATTCCCAGCCTACCCTTACTCTCTGGGTCCCAGCCACTAGGCTTCACAGACATCCCCAAGGACTATGGAGGGTAGGCTGTGAGCAGGGCTAGGGGCAGGCAGAGACCCGCTGCCCACTCTCGGCGCAGCCTTCCTGCTCCCTGCAGTGGGAGGTGACTCAATTCCTACTGTAGACAAAGTGGGTGGGGGTGGGGTCAGGTGGCTGGCGAGGTGGGGCTCGTGGTGCACACCTAGATTCCTAGCGCTTAGGGAGGTTGAGGTCTAGGGTCAAAAGTCCGAGCCAAGCCTGGACAACTTAGTGACCCAGTCTCAAAATAAAAAATATAGTGTTTAGGATGTAGTTCAATGGCATAGCCCTAGGGTCAATCTCCAGTACCAAAAACACCCCAACTAAACAACAAAATCCCTAGGTTTCTGGATTTCTCAGGGAAGTGGGAGCTGAGCTAAGTTTAGCCATGGCATGGTGCTGCCAGTAGTCCCTGTACTTAATTGGGAAAACCTCGACATTACAAGTTGGTTTGTGCCTCCCAGTGACCAGATCTGGGCTGATTTGCTTGAGGCAGGGAGGGAAGGAAAGTGAGAAATGAGGGATGTATGGGATCCCTTGTGTGCCAGGTTTTTGCATTGAGTAGGACAGTGTGGTGGGTGAGTGCACAGCCCCAAGTCCACACCAGTGAGCCTCCAGCCCAGTCCTCCTGCTTGCAAGCTGCGTGACCTCAGAAAGGTTATTTGCCCTCTCTGTGCCACAGTTACTCCATCTACCAGATTTAAGTAACAAAATATGCCTAGTTAAACTGGCCATGAAGGTGCTTATGTACCTATAACACCAACTCTTAGGAGGCTGAGGCAGGAGGATCATCATGAGTTCAGACCAGCCTGAATTACATAGTGAAACCTTGTCTCAAAAAAAAAATGAAGCCATACCAAAACAAAACAAGACTCATCCCTGGTTAGGCACTCACTAAGTATAAAAGTTATTGTATGAAGTAGTCGCTTGCCTAGGTAACCTGGAATCGTTGGGTACATTTGTTGTCTCAGCATGGCTCCTAATAGGTCTTTTAGAACCAAACCCAGCCTGGCTTGGGTGATACATGAGGTGGTCATCCTGCCAGCCCACACTTCAGAGTTGCATATGTAAAGTCACTTGTTCTAAGTCACTCTGTCAGCTGCCGGGTGGCCACAGAAAAATCCAACCCCAGTTCTACGTGCCTATCTGTGCTCTAGGCCTTGCTGGCTACATATCCAAGCTTGTCCCCCCAGGGGCTACCTGGGGCCTCTCAGAGCCCTCGGGGAGAGAACAGGACCCAGGGTCCGCTCTGGAGCTGGTAGTTACACTAAGGTGGCTCTCATGGTCAGTGCTGCTGGCTGCTGCCTGACGGCTTCATGCCCAGCCAAGGTCCTGGCTTGGGGCTCTGATCAGTCCTTGCTGGGCAGTGCCAGGGCTGAGCTGGGGGGAGCAGAGGGCCTCAGGACCTTTTGTCTTACCTTTTGTCTGCCCAGGTAAGAGTCCTTCCTTCCTATCCTAGTTCCTAGTGCCCAGGTACAGCAATCTCTGGGAATGTCCACTTCAGCCACCAAGTGGACTGGCTCCCCTGGCCCCCTAGATCCTGCTCCAGAAGAGAGTCCCAGTCTGGGCCCAGCAGACCTCCTATACTTCAGGCTAAGGCATGATGTTGGATAAGACCCTCTCCAGTCTGGATCCCAGCTCTTTCCTCTGAGATCCAGAGATTGTTATGGGGTCACGGTTCTCAAAAGGTGGTCCTGGGGCCAGCAGCGTGGAGGTAGCCTGGGAAGTTGTTATGAACATAACCCTGCAGACCCCTCCCAGCACCAGGGACTGCAGACCATGGTGGGGGGGCAGTACTCACATCTCCTGAAGCTCCCATTTGGGGCCCATTGCCTTCAGCTTCTGTAGCACAGAGCTGACTAGCACTTGCTTCCAAACCAACTGTCCTGAAAGACAGGTGTCTCCCTGTTGCCTGGGGACTAGTGAGAGGAAGTTAGCCACCAGTGGTGAGTGCGTGGTCCCTAGGAGGACCATGTGTGGTGTAGGGTGTCACATCTGTTGGGTAGTGACAGCCAAGCTGCACCTGAGGCCGGGAAACAGCCCACAGGCTCCAGTGTCACAGTTCATTTTAGTACCACTGGGCTTCAAGCTCTATCTGGCTTCCTTTGTCCTTAAGGGCAAAGGCTGCCACAGGAGGCCAGGAGGTAGCCAGCAGGCCGAGGGAAAGTAGCTGGCCAGGGCAAAGCAGGAGCAGCTTTGCTCTCAAACAAATCTGAGCTCAGTTATAGCCAGGCTGAGCTGGTGCCCTAAACTCTGGGCCACTTCCTCAGGTGCTGTTACCTCTGCCCACCGCCCTCTCCTGCCTCCCTGGGCTGGGGACTTACTACTCAGGCCCTCCTCCATCTGGTCCTGGCTGTTGGCCCCATGGCTCCAGGTGACCAGCAGGCCGTCTGGGCTGCTGATCTGACCGAGGTTCAGCAGGTAGCCCAGCATATCCCCTTCAGAGCAGTCATCTCCCCCGCAGCCTGGAACGAATGCCAAAGGGCTGTCAGTGCCAGCTGTGCCCAGCCCAGGTTCCCTGTTACCCACTCCTTCCCACGGGGTGTCCAGCACATGGTCAGAAGAGACAGCAGGACCTGGGGCCTCAGCGATACAAGGGAGGGACACAAGTGATAGCCCAGGGCCCTTGGGAGGCAGGTGCTCACTAGAAGGGAAGATTTCAGGGAGCTCTTGCAGGGTACACAATTGGAGAAGAGAGGGAGTAGGTGATTTCAGGCAGTAGGACTGGCATAAGTGAAGAAGAGAGCGTGGTTGTCTAAGAGAATGGCTCCTGGGCTGGGTAGGGCTTCAGTACTAGAGTGCCTGTCTAGCGTGTATGGGGCCCTGGCTCCATCCTCACCACCAGGAGAGAAAGGCATGGCCTGGTGCAGATGGAGCACAGCAGTGGCTTAGCGCAGACGCCGGGGTAGAGGGCAATGGCCATGAGCATCAACAGGGCTGAACAATGCTGGAGGCATGGTAAGCAGTGTTAGTGCCAGCCGTGGAGCTACACGGTCGGACAAGGGCAGGCAGGGTCGGGGCAAGGGATATGCAGAAAGGAAGCCTGAGCAGGGGGTACAGGAGGGGGGCAGAGGCCTTGAGTCTCCAGGAAGACTCCCAATGCAGGGTGCAGGTTCAAGGTCCCAGGAGGTAGAAGGACGGAGAAGCCCCACATAAACAGAAGGCAGAGGCAGGATCCCATGACGAAATGCCCATCCCAGGGCAGGGAGGGCTGGCCTTCAGGCAACAGAGGAGAAAGAAAGCCAAAGGAACCTTCTGCTTCAGGGGAGTCTCCAAAGGCTTGGGGCAGGGAAGAGGTATAGGCTGGTCGGGATGGCATGGGGGAAGAGGACACCTACCTGACTGAGGGCCCCAGTTCAGCGTCAAGGCGAGGACCATGCTGAGAGTCAAGGCCAGAGTCACAACGACACCACTAGTCAGGGCATACTTGGTTCCCCTGTCCGGACACTGCTTCCAGCAGCCCATGATGGCTGTCTCTGGAGAAGCTGCCTGAGGTTCCCTGAGGCTGGGGCCAGGGCTGGCGGGAACCCAAGCAGCACCTGATCTTCCCCAGGCATGCCAGCTCTTGCAGTGCTGGGTCACCCCTGCCCCTGGGTGGAGATAGCTCCCGAAGTCCCTCCTCCTCCCCACCCTCTCTGTCTCAGCAGGTGGAGCAGAAAATCCTGTCATCCCCCAAATGACCTTTGATTGCTGTTGTCCCTCACTCTTCTGCCCCACCCCCAGGGGATTCCTGGGGCAGGCAAGGGTTGGCAATGAGTACAGATTAGAGCTGCCCCAGGGGCACCAATTTTCCTCCTATCTAAGATTCTGGTTGATAGATTGGACTGAGATTGAAACCTGGAGTCGGGAGTGGGATGAGGTGGTGTACATCTGTAATCCCAGAGGCTGAGATAGGAGGATCACTGTGAGTTCTGCTGGGCTCAGAAACGAGTACAAGGTCAGCTGGAAATACATAGCAGGGCTGTGTGTCAGAAATCCAAAAACAGAGCCAGGCTTGGCAGTGCACACCTATAATCCCAGCACTTGGGAGGCTGAGGAGGGAGGACTGCAGTGGTTCAAGGACAGCCTGGACTACATAGCAAGACTCTGTCTCAAAAAACTAAAGTAGGGGCTGGCGAGATGGCTCAGCGGTCTAAAGCACCTACTTAGAACAAGCATAGCAAAGCACAGGGACCGCGGTTCAATCCCCCAGCACCACATGCCAGCCAGCCCCGCCCCCTGGTGGGCTAAGCTGCCCACATACACACAAATAAATTTAAAACAAAAAAACAAAAAAACAAAAACTAAAATAAATTTTAGAAAAAAACCCCTGAAAATCCTAGCATGTAGCCTGGGTTTCTGCAGGTCACCCCTGGGGCCACAGGGCCCTGGGCATGGGGTCAGGTCACACCCCCACGGGTGATCAGGATGGGGCACAAGTTAGGGACCACTGCTACTCTAGGACTCTGGGTTTCTTTGCAAGCTGAAATCTCTGAGAACCCAGAGGGGTACTTGGTGACTGATTAGTGAGGAATTAGAGGCATAGTGAATCTGACCCATGGTCTGGTTTGCATTTTTTTCTTTCGTTAATAATAAAAGCAGGGCTGGGGAGATGGCTCAGTAGAATAAGTGCTTCCCTGGCAAGCACAAGGGCCTGAGTTCAATTCCTGGTTCTGCAAAAAAAAAAAAAGAAGAAAAGAAAAAATAAATAAATAAAAGAGCCGGTGAGATAGCTCAGTGGACTAAGTGCCTGCTTAGGCAAGTGCAAGAACTGGGCTTTGAGCCCCAGAACTGAATGCTGCATCAGCCCTGCCCCTGGGTGCGCTGAGCCGGCCATGAGGGGTGTGGTTACGCACACCTGTAATCCCAGCTGGGGAGGCTGAAAACAGGAGGATCACTATGAGTCCGAGCTGGGAGACCCTGTACCAAATACATAACAACAGCAACAAAATAATAATGATAATAATAATAATAATAATAATATACATTATTTATTATTTCCCTATAAAGTATATCACATCTTTATCTCATTGAAGCCAGAGGCTTTGCACTAAGCTAAGTCCCAATTCCTTTTATAACTTCATAATTCAAGACAGGGTCTTGCTAAATTGCACAGGCTGACTCGAATCTGTGATCCTCTTGCCTCTGCCTCACAGACTGCTGGGATTACAGGTGTGCAACACCACACTCAGCTACCAGATGGTTCTTTTTATTTTGAGACAGGGTCTCGCTATGTAGTTCCGATAGCCTTGAACACACGATGTAGCCCAGGCTGGCCTGGAACTCATGGTGATCCTCCTGCTTCAGCTTCCTGAGTGCTGGGATTACAGGCGCGGCATGCACCACCACGCCCAGCTTCTTGTCTTTTGTCTTTGCTTATTTTCTGGAGGTGGCTAATAGTATTAATTTCAGACTTTGCCACCTGAAGTGTGAATGTCCAAGTGGTTACAAAGAGATGATATGTGGCCTCAAAGGAAGAGAAAAGGTGAAGAAAGACAAATCCACCGATCCAAAAGAAAGTTGGAAAAATGGAAAAAAAGAACAGTGACAACGGCAAAGGAGAAGCTCTGCTTCTGGTGATGGCAAAGCCCCTCCCCCACTGCCCCCCATCAGCACTCAGACCGGAGCTGGTGCCGAGCTGTGGAGAAAATGAGAACCAGCTCCAGACACCGCGGGCCTGAGGGGATGCGAGGGCGGCTGGGGTACAAGCAGGAACAGTTGGTAGGGGCAGGACTTTATTTTTATTTTTAATTAATTCATTAATTAGGGTCTGGGGAGATGGCTCAGTAGAATAAGCACTTCCCTGGCAAGCGCAGGGGCCTGAGTTCAATCCCCAGTTCCGGGAAAAAAAATTAATTATTATTATTTTTTTTTTACGAATTTTTTTAGATAGGGTCTCACTGAGTAGCCCAGGGTGGCCTTAAACTCACAGCAATCCTCCTCAGGCTCTCAAGTGCTGGGATTACAGCTATGCACCACCACGCCCAACAAGGTGCAACTTGGTCAAATCTCACAAACCATCAAGAAGATTATGGAGGGGCTGGAGAGATGGCTCAGTGGTCTAAAGCACCTACTTAGAACAAGCTCAGCAAAGCACAGGGACCGCGGTTCAATCCCCCAGCACCACATGCCAGCCAGCCCCGCCCCCTGGTAGGCTGAGATGGCCACACACACACACACACACACACACACACACAAATAAATAAAAATTAAAAATAAAAAAAGAAGATTATGGAGCCACAGAGGAATGTGTTCGATGATGTAAAGTGAGCCTGGGGAGAGTCACATAGAGAGAAAAAACGTTTTCTCAAGTTTTCACAGAGAGCAAATTGGTCAAGCAATGGCGGTGACTCATCCTCATGTCAGACACTGACAAAAGAATGAACAAAAGGCGGTATAGGGCTACAGGATAAATCCTGAGAGTTCTTGGCTGACCTTATCAGATACAAAAGTTACATTTCTGGGTATATAGGTCTTGCTATATCTTGGTCTTAACCATCCAGCACAAAAGTATAAAAATGAGGTATATAAAGTAAATCCATATTAATACGATGAGCTGTAAAAGGCTCAAGTCAATAACTTCTGAGGATAACCCACTAATATTATAGCCTGCTAGACACTGTTAGATTGTTTAGTTGAATTCAAACACCTATAGTATTTAGATGCCAATAGAATATTCACCTCTGACAGGACAGAAAAAAAAAAGGATACAAAGGAAAGATTATTTTGTATTTATATATACAAAATAGGATAAATTTACAGCTACTTTCGCTTAATTCAATGAGAAGAAAGAGGTGTACTAACAGTGTTTGGACAGAATATCCTGTTTGCTTCTTGTACTATGGATAACCACTAAGAAGATAACAATGTACAGTGTATTGATTATCAAAACTGTCCTATTGATCAGCTGTGAAACTGTCTCATTCATATTTATTTCTCAATTAAAAATTAAAAAAATCTCACAAACCAATATTGAATCAAAGAGAGTGAAGTATATGTGTACACACCTATAATCCTAGCACCTTGGGAAGCTGAGGCAGGAGGATCACTAGGAGTTCAAATTCAGCCTGGGCCACTTAGTGAGTTTAGGGCCAGACCAGACCAGACCAAATATGTGCTCTGTAATTTCATTTATTCATAGTGCAGAAACAGGCGCGTGTAAACTAGTTGTGGTGGCTCATGCGTGGACAGCCAGCACTCAGGAGGCGGAGTTTGAGGCCAGCCTTGGCTATGCAGTGAGTTCAAGGCTAATCTGAACTATATAGTGAGAACTTGACTCAAAAAAGTAAATTACGGACTGGTGAGATGGCTCAGTGGTCTAAAATACCTACTTAGAACAAGCTTAACTAAAGCACAGAGACCACGGTTCAATCCCCCAGCACCACATGCCAGCCAGCCCCGCCCCCTGGTGGGCTGAGCTGGCCACACACACACACACACACACACACACACACACTCAATAAAAAAAAAAAAAAAGTAAATTACGGGCCGTGGAGATGGCTCTGTGGTCTAAACACCTGCCTAGGCAAGTGTAAGAACTGTGGTTCAATCCCTGGTACTGAATGTGGTGCACGCCCTGCCCCAGCCACACAGAGCTGGCCACTAAAACCGGGCTGGTGGTGCACACACCTGTAATCCCGGTACTGGAGAGGCTGAAACAGGAGGATCACTACGAGTTGAGCTGTGAAGTGAGACCCTGTGCCAAATACATTAAATAAATAAATATGTGAACTATGGTGTCAGAAGTGGGGGGGGGTTGCCTTCAGTGGGGGATGGTGATTGAAGTGGGGAAAGGAAAAGGCAAGAGCGTCTGGGCTCCGGGGTGCATTTCCAGAATGGGATGTGTGGGCTCCTGGGTGAGAGCTCACTGGACACCGAGACAAGGAAAGTGCAGAGCCAAGGTGGGGTGTAGGCAGGACCTCAGCGCTGCCCCAGCGTCGGGGCCATGGCCTGCAGTTGCAGCTGGTAGCGAAGACCTCACGGGCGGTCAGGCAGCGGAAGGGGAGGCGTGTGGGTGTTGGGATGCTGAGCAGAAGAGTTGCAAAGAACAGGTGAGGATGAGCTGGGACAGAGGGGGTGGGGCGGGGCTGAGGGGAGCTCGGAAAGACCTGGGTAAGTACCTGGAGCCACCAGGAAGGGCCTTAGGGTAGCGAGTGCTGGGAGGCTGGAGATGAAGTGGATTTGAGGCGAGGACACTTGCAAGACGGAGAGGATGTGGTCAGGAGCATGGGGGCAGGTTGGCCTAGAAGCACAGCTGGGGGTGGGTTCATGGGCTGCCCACTGTCCAGCTCCTTCGAGGTCCCATTTCAGCAAGGACAGACCCTAAGGGCAGGGGGTGGTGCAGATGGTACTTTTTTTTTTTGTGGAACCGGAGATTGAACTCAGGTCCTTGCGCTTGCCAGGGAAGCACTTGTTCCATTGAGCCATCTCCCTGGCCCGGGGGTGGTGTTTCTGGGTTGGATTTCTGGGCAGTGTTATCTCAAGGAAAACCCTAAGCTGTGCTGATCTGACTCAGATGGAAATCCACATGGTGCACAGAACTGCTCTTGTTATTTTTAAGTTGTATTTATTTATTTAGGTTTTTTTTGAGATAGGGTCTCCCTATGTAGCCCAGGCTGGCCTTGGACTCATTATGATCTTCTTGCCTCAGCCTCCTGAGTGCTGGGATTACCGTCCTCCTCTACCACACCTGACTGCCTCTCTCATTCTGTCAGCAGTGCCCCTGAAGTCCTTTATCCTGTCACTGTCATCTCAGTTATCTTAGTTATTGGTCATTCTTAGAGATGTCCTTTAGACAGATAGCTGGGTCCTTGGGTCTACAGGTCCTTGTTTCTTCATCCTAAGCTCTCTGTGCCCTGGCGCTGCCTTCCTCCTGCCACACCTTCATGGTTATCTGTACCTGGCTGAGGACAAGGGTGGGGTAGGGAAAAGATCAAGGCCTTGGGGGACAGACAGGTGTCCTAGTGTGTCCTGGGCCAGGGTTTCCTTTCTATGGGTCTCAGTCTCCTCATCCCGGTTCAAAAGCCCTCCTCACAAGATCAGCAGGCTCAAGGTGGCGCGGCCAGCAGCCCTGATGGGTATCCTAAGTGCCCACAGCAACTCGGCGTTCAAGTCAGTGAGGTTCCTTCCAGGCAGGATGGGAAGCAGGATGATACAGGCCTTTGGAAAGCGTATGTTTCTGTGTGTCATACTGGGAATTGAACCCAGGGTGTTGATACTGAGCTACAACCCCGGCAATTTTTATTTTATTTTTGATTTTAAGACAAGGTCTAAATAAGTTGTCTAAGCCCAGCATGGTGGCGCACACCTGTAATTCCAGTGGTTGGGAGGCTGAGGCAGGAGAATTGTGAGTTCCAGACCAGTGTGGGCTACAAAAGGGAGCTCAAGGCCAGCCTGAACTGTATAGTGAGACCCTGTCTCAAAAAGACAAAAATAAAAAAAAAAAAAGAGAAAGGAAAAGAAAAAGAAATATATAAGTTGTCTAAGATGGTCTCAAACTTGGGATCTTCTACCTTAGCTCCTGAGAGAGCTGGGACTGCCTCTCCCCTCTGCACAGGCAGGAGCAGGGGCCTTATTGGCTGGGAGACTTCCAGATGCCAGTGACCTCACAAAGAGCGCAACCCCAGCCTGGGCTTGGGGGAGCCGAGGTAAGCTGAGGGGCCGCTGTGGGCAACTTCCAGGGGTGGGGTCAGCCTCCACCAGGCAGGTACCACCTTGACCCCACCCCCCGGGGAAAGTCTCCCCTTCCAACTGTAATTCCAGTTAGAACATCACATCTGACTTAAAGCTGACCTTTCTGTTACGATATGGATGCCCCAGGGGAAGGTAACGCACTGAGCTTCACATCAGCAATTCAAGGTTCAAGGAGAGAGACACTGAGTCCTGAGGCTGCGGTGGGTGGGAGTAGGGGAGGTGAGGGAGAAGAGAGCGAGAAGACCCTGGGAGGGGAGGCTGGTGTGGTGGCACATGCCTGTCATTCCAGCAGGCTTGGGAGGCTGAGGCAGGAAGATGGCAAGTTTGAGCCTAACCTGGGTAATTCAACTACTTAGCAAGACCCTATCTCAAAAAACAGTTTTTTAAAGGGCTAGGAATATAGTTTGGTGAAGAGAAAGGAGGGGACCTGGAGATCAAACCTTTTCCTTTTCTCCGGTGTTCCTACCTGTCCCCAGCCAGGGGAGGAAAGGGTGATGTAGATATTAGTAAAGTGTCCAGTGTACGTCGGGCACTGTGATCGCCCTTCCTGTGCCCTGTTCCATCGGAAATGGTAAGACTGGCAAGGATGCCTGGCTTTGTTGTGCATACCTGTAATCCCAGCACCCAGGAGGCTGAAGCAGGAGGATTGCCACAAGTTCAAGGATTGCCACAAGTTCAAGGCCAGCCTGGGCTACATAGTGAGTTCAAGGCCAGCCTGAGCTACAAACAGAGACCCTGTCACAAAAAAAAAAAAAAAAAAAAAAAAAAGACTGGCCAGTCTGCCTGCCTGGCCCCTGGGCTGGTGAGGCACAGCAGGTGTCCAGCTCACGTGTCAGATTCCAGAGCCCTGCACTTTTGTTTGGAGCTAGGAATTGGGTATGGCCTGGATTTCATTGCACTTTTCCCTAGGTGGGGATCCGGGAGTGGAAGAGGGCACGGGGAATGAGAAACTGGAAGGAAGATGTGGTTTCACTGTGCAATTCGTGACTTGGGAATCTGACATGTTGCGGGGAAAACTGGGCCGAGAGGACCTGGGTTAGAATCCCACCTTTGCCACTTGTGGAGACAGGAAGAAACAGAAAGGGAGATCAGCTAGGCTTTGCAGCTTTTGAGCCCTGCTCAGTCAGGAGGAGCCGGCCGGGCTTCCCAAGGCTTTGGTTTGCTCAGTCCTTCCTTGCCGGAGCTGGTTTGCAGAGGCTGTGAGGACTCCCTTCTCCCACAGGTCGCTGGGAAGCTTCTGGCTTTGACCCTCCTCGGCAACACTCGTTGTATTTCCACTTAAAAAGTGCAAGTCACGCTAGTAGGGGCGAAATAACATTCACTGTGCTTTTGATTTACATTTCCCTAATGATTAATGATCTTGAGCCCTTTTTTATGGGCTCATTGGTCACTGACATTATCTTTTTTTTTTTTTTTTTTCCGGAACGAGGGATTGAATTTATGTTATCTTTGCAGAAATGTTTGTCCATGTTGCTTGCCTGACTTCCTCAGGGCTGTGGATCAGGCGTTAGGTGTACAGTGGAGCTCATCCCAGGCCTATTTGCCCAATATTTTTCTTTGTTTGTTTGAGACAGGTCTCAAATAGCCCAAGCTGGCCTCGAACTTGCAGCAATCTTCCTGCCTCAGCCTCCCAAATGCTGGGATTATGGGCATGCTCCAGCACACCTGGCCTCCTCTTTTTTCTCCTCCTCCTCCTCCTCCTCCTCCTCCCTTTTTCTTTTTTTAAATTTTATTTATTTATTTGTGTGTGTGTGTGTGTGTGTGTGTGGCCAGCTCAGCCCACCAGGGGGCGGGGCTGGCTGGCATGCGGTGCTGGGGGATTGAACCGTGGTCCCTGTGCTTTGCTAAGCTTGTTTGTTCTAAGTAGGTGCTTTAGACCACTGAGCCATCTCACCAGCCCCTCCTTCTCCCTTTTCTTCTAACTGAAGTTGTGCTAAATAACTCAGGCTGGCCTTGAATTTGTGACCGTCCTGCCTCAGCCTCCAATATAGTTGAGATTATAGGCATAAAGTACCTCACATGATACTCTTTAATCTATTTTTGTAGTAGTGGGGAATGAATCCAAGGGTACTCTACCACTGAGCTACCTCCCCAGCCCTTTTTTTTTTTTTTTTTTTTTTTTTTTTTTTGCGGAACCAGGGTTTGAACTCAGGCCCTTGCACTTTCCAGGCAAGCACTTATTCTACTGATCCATCTCCCCGGCCCTGACTTTTTTATTCTTTGAGATACAGCTGGCTAAATTACTAAATTGCCTGTGACACACTTTAATTTGTAATCCTTCACTTCAATTTCTTAGAGTGCTGGGATTACAATGTGGGCCACTTGACCTGGCTTCTTTTACGTGGGCTTTTAAAGGAATGTCTTAGAGGCTTCTTTGGAAATGGGTTGTTGGGAGCTGCCCTAGATTCAGAAGCCGCTGCTACTGAGATGATTCCAAGATCAGCCTGGAGGTACCAGGAACTGGACTTGGGCCGCAGTGTGGCGGGAGAGAAGGGAGCCCTGGGAGCTGGTGCAACTTGGCTGAATCTGGTGTGGTGAGGAGTGAGAGTCACAGGTGGTACTCTGCCTGGCGTGGGTGGTGGTTTGGGATTGTACTGCAGCCTAGTGAGTTCTCCTGGTGGGAGGCGGTTTCTTTAGGTCTCAGGTGCTCAGTGTGAATCTTCCTGTGCACATGCATGTGTATAGCTTTGCAGCAGGTGTGCCCACGTGTCAGAGCCCTACACTGAGGAACTGGAATTTGCTGCTGGCTTCATCCTCTGGGGCTCTAATAGCTCTGGTCCATGGCTTGGAGCAGAACACTGAGTTTCAGCAGGATCGGATGAGCCTTGCCTAGGAGGACCAGGCTCTGCCCTGCCTACGGGGGGTGCATAAACAGGGGACAAAACACAGGCACCAGTTTGAGGCTGTCAAGAGGAAGTGAGTCCCTTAGCACCTTAAGTCCCACCCAGCACCCGCAGCCCCTGCTGCTCTCCATGGGTATCTGGCGGAGGGGAAGACTTAGTGACTGTCACTGTCCCAAAGCTGTGAAGATGGAGGTGTAGGAGGAGCAGCAGGTGGGTGGAGGGGCAGGCTCAAGCCCTGTGGCTTTGTCCAGCGATGTGACCGGTGCACCTGCCTGACTGTGGGGCTCCCAGAAGCTGTGTGTGGTGTGTATAAGTGTGTGTCTTCTACATGTGCCTATGCACACAGAGGAGGGGGGGATGAAAGGAAAATCTAGGCTCCTCTTCAGGTAGAAGGGGGAAAAAAATTACATACGTGAAATCAAGTTCAAGGCTTGGGCAAGGGTCTGTGAAATCAAGGAGCCCTAACTTACTTTATTTATTATTTTTGCCCTGACATTTGCGAAGCATTAGCTTCAGGGTAAACTCCCTGGACACTCACAGCAGGCTTGCACTCACTGCTCCTGAGGCCAAGACCAGCTGTGCTGCAGCTGCAGGCTGGGGGTGAAGGCGGCTCCCACGGGGCGCCCAGCCTGACTCTGCGGTAGAGGGGACGGAATGAGCAGCTTTCACTTAGGCGAGGGCGGGAGCTGTAAGGACAGCCTCCCTGTGAGACAGAGATTTACAGCCTGGAGGCAGACCAAGGCAGGGCAGTTTCTTTTCCAGGTTCACTCTGACCAGTAAGAGGACAGGCTGAGGTTTGAGCTCCGGACTGTGTCGTGACTCACGTCAGTGACCCAGAGCCAAACTAGTGTGTACAGATGCAGAGTGAGCGGACGACTGAGTGAAGGAGTCAGTGCTTAAGCGAATGTAGAGGAGCCGGTGAGGCCGTGAGCCAGCGAGAGAATGGGTGCGAAGTGAAGGAGAGAGGAGCTGACACAGTGAATCCAAGCATTTGCCGCAGCCTTGCTGCGGGCTGAGTGCTCCTCTAGACCCGGTAGAGGACACGGCCGGTGTGCCCTTGTTCTGTGGAGCCAGCTGTCCCCAGGGAAACCAGATGTGTGTGTAGGGAAGGGGATGACAGCAAGGAGCTCTGAGGAGGCTCTCACCTGTGTGGAGGCTGCTGAGCTCCAGAGAGGGTGACCCTGTGGGCATCAGCTGGTGAAAGGGAGGCCAGGGGGTGCCAGCTGAGGGGGCCCAGGCCTAGTCAGTGGAGAGGGAAAGGGGCCATGTCAAGGGACAGGAAGGGCACAGAGGGCTCAGGAGCCAGGGCACCTGGACACCGGATCTGTATCCTAAAGACACAGGAAGCCGCGAGGGGCTGGGCAGGGGGTGTGATGGGGTGGCCTTGGATGCTTTGTGAGCCAGTGGAGTGGACCATCCTCCTTCTCCTGACCTTTGCCTCTGTGTAACAATGAGGCAATGATACTTGACTCCAGGAGTCAGCATGTATGTGTTTATGCATGTGTGCGTACGTTTGTGTGTGTGTGTGTGTGTGTGTGTGTGTGCGTGCGTGCGTATGCGCGCGTGCATGTGTACAGGACAGAAAGCTGGTGTGTGCTGTGCATGCCTGGCCTGCAGGCTGCTCAGAAAGAGTTGTAAAGGCCATTCTTCCCTGACTTGGCTTCCTTCTGCTCCCCCTCAGGGGCCTACTCCTGCCTGAGAACACCATGCTTGCAGGTGAGCTGCCCCGGGTCCATCAGGGAAGGTGGCCTGAGGAGGGCAGGGCTGGGGGAGGGGGGACCGAGCAGCTCTCCCGGCAGTCACATACCTGGGTCAAGCAGGAGCCACTTTTTACACTGGCACCATGCACTCTTCGCTGTCCCCTGTCTTACACAGAAGAGGCTAGATACTGAGGGCTAGAGGCAGCTCTGTGAGGTAGCTTCGAGGATGGAGCCCTGCGGCCACTTGCAGGCTAATTCTAGAAGCTTTGGAGTTTGTGTCTGGAGCAGCCCAAGATGCCAAGGTTCACTGATCCCCTCTGCTGAACGTAGGTCACCAAGTCACATGTGGTCAGCCGGAGTAGGTAACCAGTAAGGAGGCTCCTCCTGTTCCTTTTCTGCCTTCAAATAGAAGAGAAGAGATTCCTTGTTTTCCTGTTTGCAGACCCCCTTGGAGTCTGGCCCTGTGCCAGGCAGGACCTGGAATGCTTAAGGTCCATGAGGCATAGCGTTCGAGGAGGCAGGCCACTCGAGTTAGGGGAAGGAAGGGGGACAAGGACCTTTTTGGGACTGGCAAGAGGTCAAGGAGGAGGCTAAAAACCCAGGGTGCTGCCTCTGTTCAAGCCCAGAGTTGGGGGCGGGGTGTGGTCAGAGAAGGGGACACTCATAGGAGAGGGGAGGCCCTGGGAAATAAGGACAGCCTGGCATGGGTGACAGGAAGAAGGGAAGGCCACACCAGTGCATCCGGGCACATCTACCTTCTCTCTCTCAGGAGCACTGCACTGAGTCAGCCCTCCACTGGACAGAAGGGGCAGGGACACCGAGAAGCCTCACCACAGACACAGCACTGAGTCCAGGGGCGAAGTTCATGCCCTGTGAAGACCCACAGATGACACCAGGTCTCCAGGCCTGTGGAGCCCCAGGCCTGGGCTTTGGCAGCATCCCCGGGCCTGACCCAGAAGCAGCCCTCATTCCTAACTCCAATCCACCCTCGAGTCCTGGCTGGGCCCTTGCTCCAGACCTGAATCCATCTCTGAGTCCTGATCCAGGGGAGGTCTCTGGCCTAGTGACTGATGACACCCCCAGACTTTCTGGCAGCAGGGCCATGACTCCAGCCTCCCTCCAGAACACCACTTCCGGTTGTGTGTCAACCCTGGACACGAATGTGAATCACACGTCTAGGCTGGACCCACAGGGGCCCCCATCTCCAGCCTTAAGCCCCCCTCCCAGTCCTGGCTCCCCTGAGCCCACTGATCCAGGTTCCAGGAACCCTTCTAGGCAGAGTTCTGAAGAGGCCTTCCCGTCCCCCTCCGGCAGCAAGTCTTTTGGTTTGGGTCAGAGTAACTCCAACCCTTCCAGGCCTGAATCAAACCCATTTATAAGGCTCCATTCGAGAGAAAGCCTGACTCTAGACCACCACCTCTCCAGGCTGGGCTCACAAGCGCTGCTCCTGCCGGCCTCTGACACGTCTCTGGCTTCCGACTCCAGCCAGCCCTTTGGCCTGGGCAGTCGAAGCATCTCCAAGCAGAGCCTGAACATTGCTACACATTCTTGGGAGGCCCTCATCCCAGACACAAATGAGCCAGCCACTTTGGTGTCCCACAAGCTCTCCGAGTATGTTCTGAAAAGAGCCTTTGGGGGAACCTGGAGCACAGCTTCTCAGGAGACAATCAACGTGACTTTAAATGGCCAACCCACGCCCACTCTGAACATGACTGTTATCCAGGCCTCGAGCCTGACGCTGATCCCCACCTCCAGTGATCACAGCAGCCTGCACTCCAGTGCCCACGGGCCCAATTTGGCCCACTCTCCACCCTCATGCTTGACCGTGGTCCTCGGCTCCAAGGAGACCCTGAGTGCGGGCTCCAGCCTCTTGATCAGCGACACCTCCACCCTGACACTGAGCAGCCAGCCTGAAGGTTCCCAGGACAGCGGTGTCCTCACCACACCCCTGGAGAACCTAGAGCGCCAGAGCAAGGAGGCCAGCATGGACAGGGGCCAGGTCCCACTACCACTGCCATCTGCTTCCAACACCAGGGACCAGGACGCTGCACCTTTCTGCTGCCTCCCTGTGGGTGAGTGAGGCCAGCGCCTTCCTCAGAGACCCCTGTGTGCAGACGCATGGGGCGGGTTGGGAGGGGAGGCATGCAGTAAGTGACGCTGTGGTGATACGCAGAGGTCTGCACTGGGTTTCTGCAACCTGAGGGATGGGGTGAGCCCATGTCTGACTGTGACATCCCACCAGATGTCTGCCCATGTGCTAAGTCTGTCGCCCCTTGTGTCTTCCATGTCTCTCTCTCCTGCTCTCAGAGTGAGGTTCAGGCCTGGCTCCCCAGAAGAAGCAGTGGAACACACAGGCCCTGAGCCCACTCAGCTCTCCAGGGACTTGTGCTACCTGCTGGGGCGAGGCTCCCACTCCTACCTAGGGCCTGCGCCTCCCCCTGAAAAGCAAGGGTTCTGGAACTCAGCCCTGTGGGCTTCTGGCGCTGCAATGGTCTTCTCCTCGTCTGTGTGTGGTTATGTGCAAGTACCATGTTGTGGTTTTGAAAAATCACCTTGGTTTTGTAAATATGTATAGTATTTATATCTGGGAGGGTTAGGATTCCTCTTTAAAATGTTGATCTACTTAGCTAATAGTGAGCCTTCCTTCTTCTCATTTCATACATTTCTGACTACATTTGTTGAGAGCCTCAAAAAAAAAAAAAAAAAAAAACCCACAAAAATCCCTTGCTGATATTTATTAGAAGGCTTGCAGTTTAGCCGCTGATTCGGCTTTTCCTTTCTGTAGGGTGCATACTTTACTAGAATTTTAAAATTCTCTATAGAGGACTAGTGCATCCCTTGGTGAGTCAACCCTAGTGACTTAGTTTTTATTGCTATTATAAATGCTCAAGATAAGCACAAACTGTAGCAAGGTTTTACATTTATTAAAGTTAAGAAGAGGGCCAAGGATATAGCTCAGTGGCACAGCACCTGCCTAGCGAGCACAAGGTCCTGAGTTTGATTCCTGGTACCTAAATAAGTAAATAAGTAAAGGCAAGAGGAAAAACAGGCTCTGCTGAGCAAGCTTGGGCCAAGTTAAAGTAAGTAAGAAAGAAAAAGCACCTACACAGTGTGAGAGTGACTATTGTAGAAGAGTATTGGGGCTCGGAGCTCAGTGTCAGCTGCTCCCTCCCACTTTGATTTTTTGACACAGGGACTCGCTTTGTAGTGCAGGCTGGCCTTGAAGTCACTAGGAAGCCCAGGCTGGCCTGGAATTCCTGAAGCTCCTCCTACCTCAGCCTCCCCATGTGGTTCATCATGTTATTTCTTTTCTTTCTTTCTTTTTTTTTTTTTTTTCTTTTCTTTTTCTTCCTTTCTTTTTAAAAAAATTTATTTGGTACAGAGTCTCACTACGCAGCTCAGACTCATAGTGATCCTCTTGTTTTCAGCCTCCCCAGCACTGGGATTACAGGCGCACACCACCACGTCTCGACTTGGTGGCCAGCTCAGCACGCCCGGGGGGCGGGGTTGGTGTGGTGTGTGGTGCCAGGGATCAAACCCCCGCACCAGCCTAAGTAGGCACTTAGTCCACTGAGCTATCTTGCTGGCTCTCAGCATGTTATTTCATGGGCTGTGTGGCACACACCGCATTTTGTGTGCGCCTATTTGTTATGAGTTTTGACCCCAAACTGGGTCCCTTTTTTCTCTTGGAATCTCAGAACCAATACACAAGACCAAACCTCCACTGATCAATGAAGGAAAGGTTATTCTTGGCCACCAACAGGGAAGCAGGAAAAAGAGCTTGCAGATCGGTTTCTCTACCACTGGGAGTGAAAAAGTCACACACAGGATAAAGGAAATGAGGCAGTAAGATGGGCTCACAAAGGGGGAGTAATGCTCATGTCTTTTGTGGAGGTTGGTGGAGATTTGGCGGGATTTCTTGCTCCCTGGTCATTGTTACGGCAATTGTCAGCTCTCCTGGGGCTGGGAAGCAGCTGTCATTTAGCACCCACATGGAATTATAAGAAGCTGTAGCTGGGTGTGGTGGCATATGCCTGTAATTCCTGCATTCAGGAGGCTGAGGCAGGAGGATCCCTGTGAGTTTGAGGTCAGCCTAGGCTACATAGGGAGTTCAAGCCCGGCCTGAACTAAATAGCGAGATCTTATCTAAAAATCAATCTGAACCAACAGCAACAAAAACAAAAAAGTTGTAGGTTGTGGTGTCCTCTGTCAGCCATCCTCCAGCCAGCTAACTATGGCTGCCACACATGAAGAGAGCCCTTAGGTGTGCAGGCACCGTCCTCAGAGATGAGCGAGATCAGGCATAGAAACACCCTATTGGGTTGTTTCCGTTGGCTATTTAAGCAATGCCACTGTGAGCTCTCGCCCTCGCGTTTCTGTGTAGATACAAGTCTCCACTTCTCCTTGAGACGGGCTTGCATTGCAGCCGAGTTCTAAGAACCCACAACCCGCTGACATGCTTGCAGCTTGCAGCATCGTGGCTCTCCAGCATGACCTCCTGCATAGCGCTTCTCGCTATTTTTCGGCAGGGGGCGCTCGGGCGCAGCGGGCGGCGACCTGCTCTTGCGCCTGCGCAGCTCCTGCAGCTGCCACAGTAACTATTTGAAGTTCACTGGTATTTCTAAGTCTATTTGCTTGCAGCTGTCACCACCATCTCCAGGGCTCCGCTCATCTTTTAAATCTGAAAGTCTACAGCCTTTACAAAGCAACCCTCCCCCGCCCTGGCGAGCGCTGTTCTGTCTGCGTAGGTTCTGGGTTCACACACAGCTGATATCTCCACTTCATTCTTTTGCACGTTGACATTGTTTTGTCAGCACTACTTGTTGGAAAAGACAGACCTTTCCCCAAGTAAACAGTCTTAGGACTTTGATTAGAATAGTGACCATATAAGAGGCGTTTATTTGGAGTTCTCTTTCTTTTTTATTTATTTGTTTATTTATTTTTATTTTTTTTAATTTTATTTATTTATGTGTGTGTGTGTGCGTGCGTGCGTGTGTGTGTGTGTGTGTGTGTGTGTGGCCAGCTCAGTCCACCAGGGGGCGGGCTGGCTGGCATGTGGTGCTGGGGGATTGAACCGCGGTCCCTGTGCTTTGGGAACTTGTTCTAAGTGGGTGTTTTATACCACTGAGCCATCTCACCAGCCCCTCTTTCTTTTTTATTATTATTATTATTTTTTAATTTTTTTTTTCCGGTACCTGGGATTGAACTCAGGATCCTGAGCTGGGCAGGCAAGCGCTTATTCTACTGAGCCATCTCCCCATGATTGGTTGGAGTTCTCCATTCAGTTTCAATGGTCTGTTGTCTGTCCTGGCCAGTATAACGCTGTTTTGATTACTGCAGCTTTGTAGTAAGTTTTGAAATCCCAAATGTGACTCTTCCAGTTTTAGTCTTGTTTCAAGATTGTTTTGAGCTGAGCGTGGTGGTACAGGCCTGTAATCCCAGCACTGGGGAGGCTGAGGTAGGAGGATTATTTCAAGTTTGACACCAGCCTGGGATACAAAGTGAACTAAGGCCAGCCTGAACTACATAGTGAGAACCTGTCTCAAAAAGACAAAAAAAAAAAAAAAAAAAATTAGCAGGGACTGGGGAGATAGCTCAGTGGCACAGCGCCTTCCTGGCAAGGGCAAGGTCCTGAGGTCAACTCCTGGTACCCCATCCCCTCTCCAAAAAACAGAAAGAAAGAAAGGAAGAAAAAAAAAACACGATTGTTTTAGCTGTTTGGGGCCATTTTATTTATTTACTTATTTTAATGTATTTGGTTGTTCACTACACAGCTCGGACTCGTAGTGATCCTCCTGTTTTCAGCCTCCCCAGTGCTAGGATTACAGACATACACCACTGTGCCCAGGCTCTGGCCGGCTCAGCCAGAGGAGGGGCGGGGTTGGCGCAGCATGCAGAGCCACGGATCTAACCTGTCCCTGTGCTTGGCTAAGTTTGCCTAAGCACGCGCTTTACTGAGCTCTCTTACCTGCCCCTGATTATTATTACTTAATAGGACCATTTTGTCTTTTTTGTGTGTGGTACTGAGAATCGAACTCACAACCTTGCGCTTGCTTGGCATGTGCCAGTGCTGCAAGCTACCTCCCTGGCCTCCATTCTGGATATTTTTATTAGCAATTTTTATTTTATTATTATTATTATTTTGTATTTTAGGGAAGGGTCTACAGGGTGTTCAGGGTGTCACTACTAGATCAGACTAGTAGTGATCCGCCTGTTTACAGCCTCCCAAGAGCTGGGATTACAGGCGTGCGCCACCCACGCCCAGTCTCAATTGCTGTCTCAGCCTGTCCCGGGGCGGGGTCGGCATGGCAGGACTGGGATGGAACCCCCGGCCCTTGTGTCTGATTGCAGGCGCTTTAATCTGCTGAGCTATTTTACTTTTGTTATTTATTTAAGACAGGCTCTTGCTATGTACTTCAGGCTGGTCTTGAACTCACTATGCAACTCAGACTTAGCCTGGAACTTGCAGTGCTCCTCCTGCCTCAGCTTCCCAAGGGCTAGGATTACAGCCACAGCCACACCCAGTCATTTTTATTCTTTCTTTCTTTCTTTCTTTCTTTCTTTCTTTCTTTCTTTCTTTCTTTCTTTCTTTTTTTTTTGTTTGGTGGAACCCAGGATTGAACTCAGGCCCTTGCGCTTGCCAGGGAAGCGCTTATTCCACTGAACCGTCTCCCTGGCCCGTCATTTTTATTATTAATTAAACTTTTTCATCTGACTTTATATCCAAATATACTGTCCTAAACACACACACACACACACACACACACACACACACACACACAAAACACCCCCTAAAAACTACACTTTCTGTGCAAGTGACAAATTTCAGTACCAGGGAAGCCAATGATACTTAAAAATACTACATCTAGTCTGGAGTAGACATTTATTTTTGGCAACATACAATAAATAACATGAATTACACAGCAGCAGTAAGGCAACTAACATGAAACCACGGAGCTGTGGCTTGCCGCCTTGGTGTCATGGACTTGGGCCTCCAGGCCACGCAGTTTTGAGCAATTGGCTGCCCACTCAGAGCTCTGCCAAAAACTCCAGGGGAGGAGAGGGGACTCCT